CCGCTCGCGCCTCCTGCCCGCCCGCCGCCGCCGCCGCCGCCTCACGCGCCGCGCGCTCCGTCCGGCCACAAAATGGCGGCGCGCGGAAGGCCGGAGGGGCGGGCGGGGCTCCCCTCCCCCCTCCGCCCCGCCCTCACGAGCGCCGCGCGCGCCGGCCCCGCCCGCCCGCCCGGGGCGCCTGGACTTCAGCTCCCGTCGTCCCCGGCCGAGCGGGCGGGGGCAGTGCTCGACGGGAGTTGTGGTCCCGCCCGGGCGGGAAGGCCTCCGGCTGCCTCCCGAGCCCCCTCGGCGCTCCGGCCGCCTGGGGGCTCGCTGCCGTCGTGGCGGATGTCAGGCGGCGGGCCTTAGTCGCCCTGAGGCCGGTCAGGTCTACGGTCATGGGTGTGAATGAACAGATGCGCCGACGGCTGGACCGAGTGTGGGCTGAAGAAGGCGCCTATCTCGGAGGCTTCGGAGCGCAGGTCCCATCGGCCGCAGCCAGCACGGGCAGCGGCACGGGGTGACGGGACCGCAGTCCTTCGGCCCGTCCCTGCTTCAAAGGAGAGCAGGCATCAGGATGGGGCGCCCTGGGGGATGCTCCGCGGCGGGCCCTCTGTTCCCCACCCCCAGGCGGGTTGGACTCCGCGCCCATCGTCTCCCAGCCCGAAGTTGGGGATCATGTGCTCTGCAGTGCAACACAGCTGGAGGGCCCTGGTGAGAGAAAGACAGCCTGTCTTCTCCCCTTTGCAAAACGGGGGTCTGTCTATGCAGGGAGACCTCTTTCTGCTTCCTGTGCATAGCTGGATTTACTCACAAAAAGGCTCGTCTCCATCCACCCATCCATCCCCACTTGGGATGCGTGTTCCCCCAAGTGGCTGCGTACTTCCCCAGCACAACTTTCTCACCCCGTTCCCTGCCACGACTGAGAACGGCAGCAGGACCAGCAGCAAAAGAATTACTGCTTCACTGCTGGGAAAATGTCATTTCCCCACATCGACAGCCTGAATAGGAGTAAAGACAACTTGGTCCTGCGCAACCATTGAATAACAACGTCACATTTGAATGCCTTCTGAGAAAACGCCTGGCACAAAACCCAGAGCAGCCAATAGTTCTGCCATGCCCCTTGAATCTTTGGCCTGCCAGGGCTCTTCTACCTTGGCCTCCGCTGCTTCCTTTCCTGGACTACAGGCGTGTTGAGAAATGCCTGGGACCCTGCCTTTTATGCCCCGCTGCCTCGCCGTCTCACAGGCCAGCATCCGCTGTCCACCCCTTCCAGAACGTGCCAACTTTTCTGCTCAGCAGAATTTAGCACATTGCCCAACAACTGCAAACAGTGTGCAGAACAAGCTGCCAGAGCATTGCAAAGCCTCACCTCGCCATTCCGTCTCTTCTTTCGAAGTCACAGGTTAAAGTTTAAAAGACCTTGAAAGCTGAGTTGTGCGAGAAAAGCAAAGAGGAGACTTTAGTCCTTTATTCCCAGCCATAGCAATGTGGAAAGTAAGAAGTGGAAAGTCTCCCTAAGACCTTTTAGAAACAGGAAACCTAGACTCGTTTTTAGCTGGCTCTGGGTGGCCAACATCCTCCTTTGGGTCTGATCCGTCCACCACTGGAACATGGTGCTGAGCTCTGTGTAACGCTGCTGCCAGCCCTTTTGATGCCCAGCTCCCAACATCATCTTGTTAGACTGCACCTCTCTTTGGGCTTCATTCATTCAGGGATGCTGCTAAGAGTCCAAGCTCAAGCAGGACACCCAGAAAACACACACAAAATGGCGCAGACAGCTGTTTTATTTGGTTAGGGGGGAAATCACATTAGGACACTAACTTGATTAGGACCAGCTGGAGCGTCAACCATTAGTGAACAAGGTTTCTACTTCTAGAGAAGCTTCTTTGGACAGTCATACACCGAGCAGCCACAGCATGGCGCTCAAATATTTTTGTAGGCAACTGGCAAAGAGCGAAAGGCCGCAAATGCGGCAGTTCTGAAGGTCAGGCTGTGTTTTCTGCCTTGCATGCCGGCTGAAATTCACCAGCCAGTGCGCCTTGTGACAGGGATGCAACTGTGTGTAAAAGGCCCAGACAAGGGCCTCGCAGCGGGTGGTTTCACAAAAAGCGGTCGCCTCTCGGCTGCTAAGCCATCTGAATCTCCGCCTGAGAGATGGACCTAGATTTCCTCTTGCTGGATAAGGAGAGGAGGAAGTCGTCGCCAAAAGCCCCCTCGAAGGCGGAGACCATGGAGTGCCGGAACGTCTTCTGCCCTGCAAACACGTACAGGATGGGGTTGATACAGCTGTTGAAGAACGCCAGGCTGGACGCCAAGGGGACCCCCAGGTAGAGGGCCATCTTGAGCTGGTGGCTGGCAGATGCTCTGGACATTTCGAGCAAGGAGAAGACGTGGTACGGGAAGTAGCAGAGGAAAAACGAGGCGGTGACGGCAATGATGATCCGGAACGGTTTTGTCGACTTGGTCAGGCGCCTCCTTTTCATCCTGAAGGCCACGATGCCGTAGCAGACCACGATCACAGTGAAGGGCAAGAGGAAGCCAAAGAGGAACCGGGCTACGATCATGGCTTTGTGCCTCGTCCTCCAGAGCCTCCGCGTCTCCTCGGCATCGTAATTATCCGAGAGGGCGAAGTTATTGTAGCAGCTGGTGATGTTCCTGGAATTGGTCGCCGTGTCTCGGAAAATGAGATACGGAGAGCTGATGATGAAGGCTGCGCCCCACGTTACGAGCGCAGTGTTGTACGCGAGCTTCGTGGTCCGGTAGTTTCTGGACCACACGGGGTAGAGCACGGCGACGCACCGATCCACGCTGATGACCGTCAAGAGGAAGACGCTGGCAAACATGTTGAGGAAGGCAATGGTGCTGTTCAGCTTGCAGAGAAGCTTCCCAAAGGGCCAGTGGAAGCCCAGAGCTGTGTAGGCGATGCTCAGGGGGAGGAAAAACGTGAAGACGAAATCTGCGATGGCCAGGTTCAGAAACCACACGACATTCACTGTCCTCTTCATCTTGAAGCCTGCGATCCAGATGACGAGGCCGTTCCCACTCACCCCGAGGAGACACGCCACCCCGTAGACCACGATGGACAGGAGATGCATGCTCCTCTGAAGGCCTCCGTGCATGTCTGTGTGCACAGAAGTGGTGTTCCCGTGCCAGAAGGTGAAATTGGGCTGGGAAGGCAGCGAAGAAACATTCTCCATCCCACAAGAAGTTCCTGAAATCCACCAGCCAAACATTATAATAAACACATTACATTATTGAGAAAAGGCAGATTTCTAGGCCAGATTCTGACTCTTGGCAAACATTAATCAGCCTCTTTCTTTTGACTAATAAATCAAAGGGATTTGTCAAACTGAGACAGTGTCTCTCTTGGCAAGTCAGAAATCACAGCAAATTTTATTTTGGATACTTGCTTCTAAACATTCAGTTTAATTAAGTGAATTATTTCAAGCTGCCTCTTATAATTCTATTCTTCTATCATTCATATTTATATATTTAAGCTGTTCTGTGCTGATATTATTGATGTGCTCTATTACAAAAAATGGTAAAAGCAAATAAAATTGATTGATTATTACTGTTTCAGTCCAAGATAATCATTTTACCTGATACTTTTCCTAGTTGCTGGCAAATGCATCAAAATTCTACCAATTTCTCTCTTTCTTTTCTTCTTTTACCGCTGGCCAAGGGAAGACAGGGAAAGACTCACCCCTTCTTCTTCACCTCCTCCAATAGATGTTTGGTTCCTGGAGCAATCGGTGTGGTTGGTTTAGCACATTTTATCTAGAAGCCTCAAAACAGGGTTCTTCCCAGGCCTGAGTCACCTTGCACTGCATTTCTTTCCACATGTCTGGACTTAGGGGATTTCAGAGAATGTCATTTATTCCAACATCTTCTTCCTCAATGTGTTATAAATGGAATTGAACACTTTGGCCTATTAATTAGGATTGTTGTTGTTAGTCGCGAAGTCGTGTCCAACCCATCGCGGCCCCATGGACAACATTCCTCCAGGCCTTCCTGTCTTCCACCATCCCCTGGAGTCGGAGTCCACTCCAGCTCACACCGACTGCTTCAGTGACTCCATCCAGCCCCCTCATCCTCTGCCGTCCCCTCCTCCTTGTGCCATCCATTGTTCCCAGCATTAGGCTCTTCTCCAGGGAGTCCTTCCTTCTCATTAGGTGGCCAAAGTATTGGAGTTTCATCTTCAGTATCTGGCCTTCTAAAGAGCCGTCAGGGTTGCTCTTCTCCAGGACTGGCTGGTTTGATCGCTTTGCGGTCCAAGGGACTCGCAGGGTCTCCTCCAGCACCACAATTCAAAGGCCTCAATCCTTCGGCGCTCAGCCTTCCTTATGGTCCAGCTTTCACAGCCATACATTGCAACTGGGGAAACCACAGCCTTGACTATACGCACTTTTGTCGGCAGGGTGATGGCTCTGCTTTTTCGTATGCTGTCTAGATTTGCCATAGCTTTCCTCCCCAGGAGCAAGCGTCTTTTAATTGCTTGGCTGCAGTCCCCGTCTACGGTGATCTTGGAGCCCAGGAAAATAAAATCTGTCACGACCTCCATTTCTTCCCCATCTATTTGCCAGGAAGTGAGAGGACCGGATGCCATGAGCTTAGTTTTCTTAATGTTGAGTTTCAAGCCAACTTTTGCGCTCTCCTCCTTCACCTGCATCCAGAGGCTCTTTAGTTCCTCTTCATTAGATTAATTAGGATGCTACACCATTAAAACAAGTAACGGCGGGCTTAGAATGTGGACCCTTCTTAATGTTTCAGGGGCAGCAAAAACTCTTGTGGCACCTAACAAAGCAACCCTAGTGATGTTCTTCCATCATTTTCGATGAGGACCTTGACCTCTAACGGGTTGTGAGTTGTCCATGGTGTGTCCGCAGGTGGCCAACATGAAGCACTCCTAACCATGTTTACAAAGACATAAGCTCCTGCTTTGCATGGAAAAGTGTTCTATAAATCTAAAGCAGCCTTCTGCTTCCAGGGGCCCTCCAGGTATTTTGCGCTACAGCCCCATCATCCGCATTCAGAACAGGCCCCGCTGGCTGGAGATGATGGGAGCTGTCATACGATACCTTCTGGGGGCACCCGGGCAGCGAAGGCTCTCCTAACGAAAGCAAGCACTGCGGTGTCAGAAGCCTCTTCCTTTCCCGCGGCAACAGCACTCTGGACATGGTCAGGAACATCTCACCCTGCGGGCAGCTAGGAAGAGATGCGAGAGGATGCCCGCCCGCCCGCCCGCGCTCGGGGCGCTGCGCTCCAGCCGCCAACCCGCGGGCGCGGGAACGAGCCGCGCGCTTTCTGCCGGGCGGGGCGACCCGCGCGGCCTCCGCCAATGGCGCGCGAGGCGGGCGGGCGCCCTCTCCCCATTGGCGGGCCCGCGGCGGTGGAATCCTGCGGGGCGCGCCGATTGGCTGCCGCGCGCGCAGAGCGGGCTGCCCGGACTTAAGTTCCGCGGCGAGGCAGCGGCTCCTCCCGTCCAGCGAGTCCCGCGCGCGGAAGGTGTTTCCGAGGGCCCTGTAAGTACGAGGAGCGGGGCGGGGGGCGCCGTGTCGCTTATGGCAAGATCACGGGCCCTTCCCAGCCTGGCATGAGGGGCCCTTCTTGTTCCCTTCCCGCGGGACGGCATCCGCTGCCCAGCAGGCAGAAATTCCACCGGTGAAGCTTCTTGCCTCATCCGCTGGGGAAAGCTACGCTTGTGGCGTCGATGTTAGTGTCCCAGCGAGGAGGATGGTGTGAGGGGGACTTGATCTTCTGGAGGCACAGGAGCACTGGGCGCATTTTCCCCTTGCCGTTGGCGGACCCGAAAGATCCCGCTAGATTTGGAAGAAAAGCGCTGGTATTTAAGCATTGCGCTCCGCACCTTCTCTCCATACCGCCCGTCAGTCCCGCGTGCAGTCCTAGGCATGGCAGCTTAAAATTCTTCCCAGGCAGGAGGGTGCAGGTTTACCGCTCCAGTTGCCCACCTCACAGGGTTGTTGTGAAGACTGGGGGGCATATCCAGAACTGGCTGTTTCTGAACATCAAGAAATTGAATTGATGGTGGTTTGGGGGCCGAGGTTCCGCTCTTGCCTGCAGCACCGGTGGCTCGCTCTTTGCCGCCATCCTCTTCAAGGGCCTCGAAAGCCCCAAGTGGCCCCAGACCGACGTGTCCGAAGGGGCCGCTCTTCCTGAGCCACCCGGCCCGTGCATTAGGATCCCCGGGGAGGGCCTTCTCCAGGTAGACCCCTTACACAGGCACAAAAGCGAGGGCCTTCTCTGTGGTGGCACCCTGGCTTTGGAATGCCCCCCCCCCCCAAAAATGGTGGTGGAGCTGGCCTGACTCTGTATTTTTCTCATCACTGTGTCAAAATGCCCAGGCTTTTAATTGCCCCGTTAGCTGGCTAAAGAGTCACACGTCTCGATTTCATTGCACTGATGACGTTCTTCTTTCGGCAACGGTACCTGCAGATGGACAGGTTTGGGGAGAAAATGAAAGAAGGAAACTAGGGCAGGTTGCTTTTTAATAAAGAGGGATTCACCCCCTTTCATCCCGGGGGGGGTCAACTTTCAGCGACGCTCTGGGGGGGCACATTCTATTCATGGATGGAATACCCCACGTTACCATTTATTTTTAGCTTAACATTTTTACTCTCAGTCACAGTTTAGGCTGGGGAAAGTATATGCAAAACCCGGGAAGCCACCAGGCGATCGATCGGCTTCTGCCTGTGGGAGCCCAGAGGGCCAAGCGGAGGTTCTGGGGGGCCACGCAGACGAGAGGGGAGGACAGGCCTGCCATGCAGCCCCTCTGTCGATTCCTGCCGGGGACACTGGTCCTGAAGTGCTTTGGTCCCCGATTCTCAAACACCCTCGGAATGGACTTTAGTTATTTGACATTTGCAAGCATCACACCATTGCCCAATTCCTTCCACGTGGTGTTTTGCTCTCCTTGAGGAGCTAATGATTAACTCGGGTGGTTGTGCTTCCTCCTGCCCCCCCCCCGCCCGCCCCCAAGACAGGCTTGGCTTTGTGTGGGCTCTGGGAAACTGAGATCAACAGATGTGCGATGTCTCGGGTTGCTCTGAGCAGACGGCCTTGTCAGCCGGTGCCCCCGAATGACTGTTCCTGGAGAACAGCCGCCCGCTGTGCTCACGTCCAGGGGAGCAACAGGCGCTTTGGGCAGGCCGTGAAAGACTCTTACGCTGCCCGTAGCTCAGTGGTAAACATTAGACCAGGTCAGGGTCTCCACAAGGTGACACCCCTTCCCACCAGGCCGCTGACCGATTTCCAGGCTCCCTCCCGAACGGGTGAGATGGCCTCCCGTGGTTGGTTCCCAGCAGCAAGCTCTTCCAGCTAAGAGCACCAGCGTTGTTGGCTTTGTCTTCGGCCCCGTCCCCGACTTGGAGCAGAACCCCTGGGACCTTCTCCGGAACTGGATTCGGCCCCACTGCCTTTGCCGTTACCACTCGGCGAATCTTTCATGGGCAGAGGCAGTCTACCCCTGAATTTCAGTAGTAGGAAGGGAAGCCACGGGAGGGGATCCAGGCCATCCTGGCCTCTCGTGGTCTTCCTGTTAGGTCTGCTTGGCCCTCGGAACCGAGCCCACAGGACTTCCGTCGTGCGCCATGCCTCAAACTAGGGCAGTGAGATTGTCGACGGGGGTTGTCCAGGTGATCCTGCCCTGCCAGCTCTTGGTCATCCTCTCTGAGCTGCTTGGAGGAAAGGAGGGCTATAAACGTAATAAATTAACATGTATTAATTAAATGGGAGGAGGTGCCTCTGTCGAAGGGCTCGCTCCATGCTAGGCTCCTTCCAGGCTGCATTCCAGGCGTGGGAGAAGCCAGCTTTCCTCCTGAACTGACAGCATCCCACTGACGGCCAATGCCTTTTTTAAGGTCTTGGCATTCTGCTCCGAGTCTTCTCTCGCCGACCAGCCCTGCCATGGACCGCCACATCATGGCCAACGGAGACCACGGCACTAAGGCGCTCTGGGCCTCCCACAACAGGATGGTGTTGGAGCCTCTGGATACCAACGACCCGGAGGTGAGGGGGCGTGCGGTTCGGAGGGTGACGCGAGCAGGGAGTGGACGGCATCGATTCCGGCGGGAGGAGGAGGAGGAGGACGGGATCTTTGCTGTTTGCCGCCGGCAGCTCTGAGCCAGCAAGGGCGAGAGGGAGCGGCAGGCGGGGGCACTGACGTTCTGATGACGGGGGTCCGTTGCGCATGTACCAGCTGTTGCTTGTGCAACCCTTCCGAGTGCGCACTCTTTACCAGCTCCTGTGTGAGCTGCAGCACAACGAGAGCTTCTGCGCGGCAGTCTCTAACTGTGGAGCCCGTGGGCTTGCCGCCTGGGGATGATGGGAGTTTTCGCCCAGCACTGGGTCCAGCATAGCTTACGTTGACTGTTGCAATCCTGCGTCAACTTCCTGGAAGGGGGTCCCGTCGAACATACGTCTGAGTAACCATGCCGGGGATTGCGCTGTGAGCGTGCGTGATGGAAAGTCACGGCTCAGATATCTCGGCAGCCATGCCAGGTTCAGGCGGGCAATTTGCCAAGTGTTTCTTTGAAAAGATGCCTTGAAAAGGCTCCACAGTTCAGCATCCGGTAAAATAGATGCAATGCAATAACACGGAAATCTGTGAGAAACACGTAAATACATCAATGCAATGCCAGAGTTAAAAAAATATGAAACGGCAGCATCGACACCAAACCTTGGAGGGAAGGTGCACAGTAAAAATACCTTGGAAGATAAGGATGGCTGGGGATTTTCCCCTCCGGCAAGGCTGCTTGCGTTACAGCAAAGAATTGGCAGCGAGTCAATCAAATGGCCAGAGAGGATTTGAGGCTATGGGGGGGGATCAGGGCACCCTTGGGGGGCTGCACACAGCCTGTGTCCCTTGGGTCGTGTGCCCCTGAAAGAGACAGACAGACAAAAAGTTGCACACTCACTGAAAGATATGCCTAAATGCTGGCAAATTAATTTGGGATGCACTTTTGGTTCATCAAGAGGTTTTCAACTGACTGGCCTTGCTCGGGTGTCAAATGTGCCGGGCCCAGTCCTGCCCGCGGGGTTCCCCCGACAGCCCCTCCCTCTGCCCCGGTCCCACCCCCCTCCCAGCCACCTGCCATGGGTGGCTGCCAGTCACTAAGCACTTCCGCATTTTCGGATGGGGGAGAATCAGCGCAGGAGCCTGGCAGTCTCCGAATGCTGGGCGGGAGGTGGCGTGGCCCTCCGGGGAAGCCCAGGAGGCTGGATGGGGACCCCGGGGAGCCTGGGGCGCTGCACACCTGCCCTAAGCGGAGGGGTGCTGTTTCATTTTTCCTCGTCGATGAGCAAAGCACGGCTGTGCGCCTTGATCTGCCAGGAGCGCTGCCGGCGGGCGCCTGGACAGCTGAGGGGCTCAGGTGGTCTGCGCGACTCCCCGAGCTTGCCCAGGCACCGCTGGCACGCGCCACCCTCTCTCCAAAGGTCCACAACATCATCAAGAAGGAGAAGCAGAGGCAGAGGCAGGGGCTGGAGCTGATCGCGTCCGAGAACTTCGCCAGCCGGGCCGTCCTGGAGGCCTTGGGCTCCTGCCTGAACAACAAATACTCCGAAGGATACCCGGGACAACGGTGGGTGCCGAAGGAGGGGCAGGGAGAGCGGAGGCCTCGGGTTCAAGGCATGGCTGGCATCCTTGGCCTGCCAGGCAAACCCGTCCGTGGATGCTGGGCGTGCGGACCGAGCGCTCCTGGTGGCGGGAGGGGACTTGGCCCCTGCTCCACGGTGCGGTGCAGTGGAGCCGAGGGCACGCGGCGGCTCTGGAGGCACACGCCCATGGCGGGGCGCGCAAGCCCCTTCAATCTGCCTCTCTCGGCAGTACTTTGTGGCCAGCTCGAAGAAGAGCATGTACATCCGTGGATGTTAAAGACGGCTCCAGTACAAAATGCCGCCATAGAACATCCTCCTTCCAACACAGAAGTAACTTTGCCAAAACTTCTGGGTAAAAGAAGCATTAGCTGCACTGCACCAGCAGCAGTTTGCCAGGGTGGAGAAACGCTGGAGGGCCCAGTGGGGTCGAAACCACACTTGTGTTCGATGAGGCACAGCCTGAAACGCCTGGAAGTGGCAGGCATAGCCGCTGACGTGGCAATTCCCCAGTTAGGCTCAAAGAGCACTTCCTGCTCAGAGACAGTCGCCACGTTGGATAGAAATCTAGGCCCGGGACGTCCGCGTGACGGGCAGCGTCAGGCACGCACGGACATCTTAACTATTCAGACACAAAGGCACCAGAGGGAGTGGTATCTGGTGACTTGCCAGAGTTTGCCTCTGCTTTGCAACAGAAATGTGCTCTTTTCGCTGCCTCCGTCCCCATCTTGGCGAGCTGCCTTGGGAGCCATTTGGCTGAAGGAGGGCTGCGGGCCAAGGTGCTATGAACGCCCGACCCCGTGCCTCTCGTCTCCCCCACACGGGCCGCCTCGGGGGGCGCCGTCCATCCGAGGGCTGGCATGGGAGCTGCCGGTCCTTCGGCAAACCTCCCAGAGGAAACCAGGGCCCAGGACACTGCGGCGGTGGCTGAAGCGGAGGGCGTGTGCCTCTGCGCCCAGGGAAGTGACGGCCGCTCTCTCTCGCCAGGTACTATGGAGGGACAGAGTTTGTGGATCAGCTGGAGAGGCTGTGTCAGAAGAGGGCTCTGCAGGCTTATGGGCTAGACCCTCAGAAGTGGGGCGTCAACGTCCAGCCCTACTCAGGTAAGCCGAGAGCAGTCCCTCAGCTGAGTGCAGAGCTCTTTCCTCGTCTTCTTCGCGAGCACCCCCCATGTGGCCGGCCCCGCAGACACCCCGCCACCGCCCCAGGCTGCCTCCATGCCGAAGGCAACCGGGCCGTCGGTCAGAGGGTGGGGGACGCTGCCCGCATCCCAGGCATGGCGCTCCTTCGGCCTCCCCCTCGCCCAGGAGAGAAGCGGGCAGCAAATGGCCGCTCTGGGTGGGCATGCACCCCAGTTCTGCTTGTTCCTTGAATGCGGCTCGGGCAGGGCAGGCGTGGCTGCAGCGTGCGACCGGGGGGGCAGGTGTTCTTTGCCCTCCACCGGGAGGGAGGCTGCTGCCGGCCAGAAACCAGCAGGCAGGGGCTGGCCCTGCGCGGGGAGTGCTGCCACCCAGGGAATCCTAGCCATGGGGTCACCATAGCCCCCTGTTCCCCTGGTCAGCTTCACCGCCCGCCCCAGCCCCCTTTCCATGCAGTGCTGGATTGCAGGGGCAGAGACCGAGACTTCGTGAAGCACACTGCCCCCCTCCCCCCCCCCCATGACACAGTTTTCCTGTAGACCCGGCTAGGGCCCGCTGCACCCACCTGCGCTCAGGCAGCCCCCGTTTCTTTCGCAGGGTCCCCTGCAAACTTTGCTGTCTACACCGCCCTGGTGGAGCCCCATGGAAGGATCATGGGCTTGGATTTGCCCGATGGGGGGCACCTGACCCACGGCTTCATGACGGACAAGAAGAAGATCTCGGCCACCTCGATCTTCTTTGAGTCCATGCCCTACAAGGTGAGCCCCGTTCGGCCCCGGGGCAGCCAGGTGGGGGGGCAGCAGCACAGCCGCTGGCCCAAACCGGGCTCGAGGAGGCGGTGGGCACACTCCAGGCAGGCACGCCCCGGGTCGGGGCCCAGTGGCCTTCCTGCTCTGCCCCGAGGCTCTGAAAATGGCCTTTGCGCCTGAGCAGTTCTCAGCCTGCCCAGGGATGAAGGAAAGGTTCGGCTCTCTGCATCGAGAGCCACGGATCCGTGCACACATTGGCTATGCACAAACTGGATCAAAACTGCCAAAGGCAGATGGCCCTGCTGGCTGGGGATGACGGGAGTTGTCAGACACACCCAGAACAGACCGGGCTGTGGCGGGGGGGGCGATGTCCAGACCGTTGTGCATGCTGGCCAGGGAGGACGAGGCCTGTAGGCAGATGCATCTCGCGCGTGCCGAGTCGGGGAAGGCTGCTGGCGGCCGGGCGGCCGGGAACCCTCTGCGTCTCGGGGCTTGCGCGGAAGCGGGGCGGCTGGAGGCTGCCCAGGCTTGTGCTCAGCACAGCCCTTAGCTCGGCGCAGCGTCCCAGCAGCTGGTCCGCCTCGTGACAGTGTCACAAGGGCTGCGTGCCGGGGGCCTTTTGGAGCCACGAGCCGAAGAAGCCCCGGTGCGCCGGCGGCAGAGGAAGCGGCTGCCGGAAGCTCAGAGGCCTGGTGATGGGGCCACCCGGACTCAGCCAGTCGCCCTCCACCTCTGTCCGTCGCTGCCCGGCTTCGGGTGCGAGAAGCGCCAGGCTTCTCACGCTCGCCGTTCTCCTGCTCTCTGGATCAGGTCAACCCCCAAACGGGCTACATTGACTACGACCGACTAGAAGAGAACGCCCGCTTGTTCCACCCCAAGCTGATCATTGCAGGTAACAACTTGCGGGAGTGAGAGACCGGGGCCGACACGGACTCTGCTTTAAATCTAGGAGCTGCATCCTGTTTGGGGTCTTTTGGGGAGGGGGTTGTCCCTTCCTAACACGCCAGCCTAAAAGAAGCTTGCCGGTTGCACTTGCCGTGTGCGCAGGTCGTTGTGGGACACAGTCGGGCAGAAACGTGTGTTTCTTGCCTGCTTTAGAGAACTTTGCTTATCGCTGCTCACATGTTGCGTCGTCGCGCTTTCCCGAGCATTACGAGCAAAGAAGCGGCACTTTGGTGGGAAGGCGGGAGAGCGCGTTCTGCGGAGCAGCTCCCAGAGCCTGGAACGCCCTGCAGCGCGGGAAGTGGGGGGTTTGAATACCTGGATCAGGCCCTTGGCCCACTCTGGAGTGAAACATTAAGTGTGTCGCTGGCAGACAGAGATGCAACATCACGTCTGTTCTGGCCATCGGTGCCGTTGGAAAACTCCTTGCTGGACAGTGTGTGTTTGGATCTAGGGCAGCAGAATTATCCCAGGATACGGCCTCCTGGAGCCACGCCCTTTATTTTGCTGGCTTCCTCCTTGCTTCCCTGCAGAAGAACGGATCCCCTGCCCTCTGGTCCTCTTGGAAACCAGGCGCAGTGCTGCGAACGGCTCCCTTTTTTCCTAGGGGTCAGCTGCTACTCGCGGAACCTGGACTACGCCCGCATGCGGAAGATCGCGGACGAGAACGGGGCGTACCTGATGGCCGACATGGCCCACATCAGCGGGCTGGTGTCGGCTGGAGTGGTGCCGTCGCCCTTCGAGCACTGCGACGTGGTCTCGACCACGACCCACAAAACCTTGCGGGGCTGCCGGGCTGGAATGGTCTTCTTCCGAAAAGGTGAGGGCTGCAGCGCTCCCTCGCCCGGCTTTCCTTGGACACGGGTTGCGGGACGCGGCCCGAGGCCCCGGGGACCTTGGGAACAGGCCTGTGCTGGTCCCCGTGCCGTCGGGACAGGCTGGTGCCCCACCTAACCTTGGGCAGCTTCCGAAATCATTCCCAGCCTGGGACTCCCAGGACGGACCGGGGTCCTCCCGCCCACGGATCAGGCACTTGGCTCTGTGCCATGGCCCTCCCCACGCCGGCCCGGTTTCGGGCTCCTCCCCACGGAGCTCAGCACCCAGAGCCAGTGAGAGCAGCCACCCGCTTTGCTCCCCTTTAGGCGTGCGCAGCGTGGATCCCAAAACCGGCAAGGAAACCCTGTACAATCTCGAAAGCCTCATCAACCAGGCGGTGTTTCCTGGGCTCCAGGGCGGGCCCCACAACCACGCCATCGCTGGTGAGAGACACTCCACGGGGCCCCGTTCAGATCCTGAGCGCGGGGCAGGGCGGGGTGAGGCCAGGGGCAGCAGGGCGCGGGGGGCCTTTCGGAAAACCGTCCCCCGGCAGGTCCAGACGCCTGCACGCCCTCTGCCTGTGCTGCCCTGGAGTCTCCGCTTCGCGGCCCAGACCCGTGCAAACCCCATGTGGCCGGTGGGGCTCCGGGTGCTTCTGTGCCTCCGTTGCACTCGCGGGTCCGTGCCCCGGTCCACCTCGCAGACACAGTCTCCCCTTCGCTCCCGCCAGGAATCGCTGTTGCTCTGAAGCAAGCCATGACTCCGGAATTCAAAGCCTACCAGAAGCAGGTCGTCGCCAACTGCAGGGCGCTCTCCAACACCCTCATCGGTCTGGGGTACCACATTGTCACTGGTAAGAGGAAGGGGTGCAGCCTGACCCGTGCCAGCTGCAGGGATCACACCGGCAGGGTCCAGCTTTCTCCTCCGCAGACGCAGCTTGTCACGGCTGGTGCTTTTCCGTAATAAGGAGACGGGCAGGGTGACTGCGCCACGCTCCGGCGGGTGCTTGGCACGGCCCCCTGGAAGCTGGAACTGGGTCAGAGTTGGGCTACCGCTGCTTCAGCGAAACATCGCTTGGGTCACCTGTTTAAGCCACCTCACACACTTACTGGATATCTGCTCAACTGAGTATCTAATTTTCGTGGGTGTCCAGATGACCTCTCGGCGGTCTTCGAACAACCCCATTAAGTAGGCAGTGCCCAAGCGTCCACAGCCCCAAACGCGGGGCTGCTGGGGCCCCACTCCCGGCGCTTTCACTCGAGCTGAGCGAGATCCCTGCCAGCACTGGGTTACTTTGTTTTCCGGGGGGTTACTCGGAGAGTTCCTGCTCTCGGGGCGCCAGCTGAAGGATGTTCTGCAATGGCCGGGATCCCTCAGCCAGGGAGCTGCGGGAGCAACGGAGGCGTGTCGGCCTTGTTCGTATCCCACAGTCCCCCAAAATGGCTCCTGGAGGGGAGCAGCACGAAGCCAGTACAGTAAAGCAGCGGCTGCCCACGGGCGTAAAAGAAGCGATGCACGAGACAGAGCGGGTGGCGAGAAATCTCCTCTCCCACACCTTCGCCACGCGTGCCAGGCAGCCCCAGTGACCCTCCGCCCCGACCGGCTTTCCTTCCAGGCGGCTCCGACAACCACCTGATCCTGGTGGACCTGCGCAACCGCGGCACCGACGGCGGACGGGCAGAGCGGGTCCTCGAGCTCTGCTCCATCGCGTGCAACAAGAACACCTGTCCAGGTGAGGGGGCAGAGGAGGCCTGCCTGTGATGCGCAGGGTGGCGGGATGGCCTGCCTGTGGGGAGCTGGGGACGGCAGAGTGACGCGGCTGGAGGACAGCGGGGGGGGGGGAGGCTGTGCCAAGCAGGGGGGCAGGATGAAAGTGGGAGAACTGGACCGTGGAGGGGCTGAATGTCGCCCCAGCCTGAGGGCAGAGCTGCGGACGCGGCTTTCTTTGCGGCTGGACCGGTCGTTCACCTAAGCTTGCGCAGTCTGCCTGGGCAGGTGCGGTTCCTTGGGCATCCCAGGTCTTTCCCAGCCCCGCTGGACATGATCTTCTTGGACGACGGCTGCGCGAAGCGTGTCTCCACGCCTCGGCCCCGTCTGAGTCCTCTCCCTCGATGATGGACCTAGCCTGGCAAATCCACTTGTCCCCCCGATGGGCAACTGCTCTTCGAGGCAGAGAAGGGTCTCTAGTCTAGAGTCAAGCTGACCCTTCCGGGGACTGAAGTCAGAGCCTTCTGAAGGGTTTCCCCCCCAAGCCATGGCCTCTCCCCATTTGTTGAGAATTTCAAGACGGACAAACGAACAGCAGCTTGGCAATTAAAGGAAAACCCTGGGCAGGAATGCCAAGAATTTGGACCGTCCCCGATTTTCACTGAACTATCCATTCCAAGCTTTAGCTCTGGCCATCGCTCAGTTTCATTTGATTCAATCCATGAACTCTTTCCCCTTGCTAGGAGACAAGAGCGCTTTGCGCCCCAGTGGGCTGAGGCTGGGGACCCCGGCTCTTACCTCCAGGGGATTCTTGGAAGAGGACTTCCAAAAGGTCGCTCATTTTATTCACAAAGGTAGGCAGCGTTCGTGCTTGCGTGATATCATCACTAGCGCTGGACCACCGAGCTGAGGCCTCGTAGCCCAGGAGGGCCCTGGACCCTCCTCCCACTTAAGGTTTGAGTGGCAGCGCTCTGGTCCAGTCCGACACTGCCCTGGGGAGACACGGCCGGCAAGGACCCAGGAGCATCAAAGAGGTCGCTTGCCACAAAACCGGCAGCGGTGCAGAACCCCTGGCCACCCTCTCCCTCCTCCTCCCACCGCCGCTGGGTGGCTTCCCCACCTTGGAGCAGGGTTCCTCCCTTTTTAAAGGCCGAAATGCCTCGGTTACTGGCAGGAGGGGCTTGAAGCCGAAACCTGTGTGGTGCGCTGCTGCGTTTGGCTGTGGCCCTGCCCGTGGCTGGAGAGTGGCCCCGGGCACTTCCCCAGGGCAGAATTTGGGCTTTGTGGTGAGAGGTTCTGTTCCACACTTGACGGCAAGGGCTTGGTAGTCTGTCACGCTCGACTCAGCTGATGGTCCTCGCCAGAGTCCCCTCCCCGCTGGTGTGCGACTGACTCTAATCTGTATCACCCACCCATCCAGGTATTGAGCTCACCTTGCAGGTTCAGAATGACATGAGCCCCAAAGCGACGCTGAGGGAGTTCAAAGAAAAACTCGTGTCTGAGGAAAAGTACCAAGCTGCACTGAAGTCTCTCAAGGAGGAGGTGGAGGCCTTCGCGGATGCCTTCCCTCTCCCTGGCCTGCCTGTGCTGTGAGGGATGCCCAGCCCTGGGGGGCCAGGAAACCCGCCCCTGGGCTGGGGAGATTCTGTTGCCTTGCCAACCGCTGTCATGCTAACTAGATCTAAGAGGGATCTGCCAGACCCTTTTCCCCCTTCCTCCTTCCTGTTCTTACAAGCGGGAGCTGCTTATGCAATCTGCTTTTTAAGCAAATTATCCCCACCCCTTTTTGGCAAAAAAATGCAGTGAGAATTACAGCACTTAGAAGGGAACCAAGCACGCACCTAGTCCAGCTTAAAATCCTTGGTCAGTGTTAGCACTGAATCAACAGCATTAATGGACGTTCCCGAAATCATGTTGAGCTGGGTCTTCAGAGACGCAGCCCGGGTTGCGGTGTCAGGCCGGGAAATCACAGAGTGCAGGATCAGACCCTGCCAATGGTCAAGTTGCTCCTGACGTGGAGCAGAACAGAAGAGGGTGGTGACAGCAGCCCCCAATCTGTGCCTTTTCACACATTCGGCTATGCAGGGGGTGGTTGGGGAATTATTTTTGCTTTGTATTTTCCATCTGTCTGTAGAAACAAATCCATTGTGGATTTCTCTGACAGCCCTGTTCATGCATAGGGCTGAACTGACCGGATTTCCGCAGGGTTCGCTTTCCTCTCCACGACTCCCCAAAGAAACGAGTGTCCCAGGCAGAACGGAAGCTTGGTCTAATCAGCCGGCGAAAGGGGCCACAAAAGATTGATTGTCCTTGTGGCTGCTTCTCTGGAGCAGTTGGGCTGTTGTCAAGTTAGTTTTAAGATGTAGAGCTTTTAATGACTCATGATGAGGGAAGGGCCCTTGCAAGGATGGGGGGGGCAGTGTCTATTTTTAGTGCCCACGGATGGCTTTTCTCCACAAGAATTACCTGTAAAGTAACAATGTACGTTGCCTCGACACCAAAGAATGAGTGGCATTTAAGCAAATGGTTTTCAGATACAATTTCATAAAAGCAGCAACACCGGGAAGACAAGAATTCACTTCCTCTTAACTCTTGTGAACCATTCTGCATCCTCCAGTTCTCTCCTCCACCCCGCTTTTTATGAGACACTTGAGCCAAGAAGTATAATCGGGACAATTTTTACTGAGCACAAGAAAATTAAGAATTTAGCCACAGTATATGCCAAGGGTTTAATAAGCTTTAAAAAATACAACAATATTTTTTGTATTTCAAAAATATTTGAGCCCAAATAAATAATTTCTTTTTCTAATGTACATTTTAGTTTCACTGTAGTCACTGGGAGATTCACTGTTGTCTGCCAAGCTCTGGTGCACGGACTTTAACAGCACTAACACAGGAAGCATGCGCTCAGGTTCCTTCCACAAAGACACTCCCCTGGTTTGTTTTTCTTCTAACTATCACCTATGCAAAAGGGCTGTGCACATAAAGGGACAGACACGAACCTTAACATGCAGTAATGAAAAGAGCAGTCTGGACAGGAGAGAGTTCAAGAGATCTGTAGGCCCAGTCCTGCTGGAGACGGAGAGAATCTGAGTTGTTGGTGGACAAGCGGCAGAATCCGTGGCCAGGGCCCTCGTCACCTGCAGTGCTCAGGGAAGCTGGGGCTGCCGACCAGAGCTTACGCGCCGGCTCGGATCAGCCCTCTTGGCCCGTGAAAGCTACCCAGCTGTGCCTGCCTTGCAGGGGCGGTTGCGCCTGCTCCAAGAGGACGATCTCTGTGCATACCTGCTGGACTATGACGCAGAAATGGGCGAGCTGCCCAGGGATCAAGCTGTCAGATGACGCTCTGGTCTGCACACAGCTGCTACCGGGGGAGCGCCCGGCCGACTTCTTTAACCCTCTATGCGCGTGAAGGGTGCGCGTCCTTAACCTGGAGGCCCCTTCGGCTACCACCCAGCCCCGCGTCAGTTCCCCCCTCCTTCCTCGGAGCAGCGTTTACTCCGTTGGGGCAACTGCCACAAACTTACGGCTGGCCACGAGGTGCTTTTAAACCAGGATCGGAAGCTGGCTTGCGCCATCCGTGTTGCCATGGCTGAAACTGAGGGAGACGGGAGAGAAGCAGGGAGCTCGCTCTGTAAGCAGCTTTTGGGGAGAGCAGCCTTTAAGCTTGCCTGGGATTTCGGCTAGCGATGGGCACCGGCCGATTTTCTTCCAGAAGGCCATGTGGCATTGGGGGGGGGGGGCAAAGGATGCCACATGTCTGCCTTAATGCGGAGATCATGCCTCCTCTTCAGGCATCCTTGCTGTTTCTACTAATACAGTAAGTTTTGAAAAGGTATTCGATTCCTAAGATGTTCAGCTGTGCCTACAGAGCATTAGACTGAGAAGGACGGACTAGGCTTATGATTTGGGCACGACTGTCTGGCGGCCCCAATGAAACACAGGTGCTGAGGAGCCGTGGAGGCTGCGGGAATATCCAGGCGGAAGTCCAGCACTGTACAAAGCTGAGTCGACTTAAGGACAGCAAGCAAAGTTGCCTTTTCTAAGGCTCTGCGTCCACTGCCTTATCCTTCACCGGCGATGACGAAAGCGTCTAGAAATGAAGGCTTGCTATCAAGCGTAGGAACAAGGCAAGGCATGCGGGAGGTTGAAGGGGTCTCTTGGAGCAGACCTCGACTTCACTGTCATCCCGATGACTCGCTCTCCCTCTGAGGACCAGAAATTTCCGGAGAAAGCTGCGGCACAGCGCAAGGTCAGGTGCTGTGGCGCGCTCAGATGCAGTCAGAGGCAACGGGCCTCGTGACAACCACACGATACGGTGCAAGGGGGGCAGAGGTGGCAGGTCAAGTGTGGGCATAGGTTTTCCGTAAATTCAGCGCTCCCTCTTCCAAGAAATCCTTCAGAGGAAGGAGGGAGGGGCAGGGAACTCTGTTCTCCATCCCGGGACAGAAGCAGCCCTGCACGATCCTAACGTGTCGGAGGGACAGGAGAGGCGATGGCTGTGAGGTATCTACTCCCTGGCTCCCGTTTTTCCCAGTGCAAGCAAAGGAGGAATGCCTTTTCTGCTCTGCAGGACAACCCATGACCACCTCCCCTGCAGGCTGCACAATGGGACACGTGCACCCCAGGCCCCAGGTCGCTCGGGGGCTTAGCACCAAGCACTTAACCCCCGGCCTCTCGCCCTGGAACCACCCAGCGCAGCCTGGGCTTGCACATCACACCCATCATCCTGCGGGGAGCCGGACGCTGCTTGGCGCTTCTCACCGAAGAGGCAGGCTGGTGCTCCCGCCGGTGGGTTGCTGGCGCCTGCAGGCCGAGTCATGCGCTTCACCCGCAAGGTCTCATGAGCAAACAGCACCAGGACTGCCCGGTCGTTCCTTCCACTAGCAAAGATTTGGGGTGTCCCACAAGCAGCTCAACGCAGAGGAAGCGGGAGGTGACACAGAAAGCTTATCGCTGAAATCCTCCCGGTGAGCTGCCAACTTGCCTGAACTGCGCCCGGGCCCCATTTTGTCAGAGGTGGCACCCAAGCTTCTTGGACCCCCAAGTTGTAGCTTCCGCAGAGCGGACAAGGAGGGCTGGCCTTTCTTCCTCACACCCCGTTTTAAGATGAAGCTCTAGCAGGGCATAAAGGGAGAACACGTTTCCAGGCCACTCTCAAACGCCTGCCATTTTTCCCAATATGAACTCCCACGGCTCCTCGAGGGAGGTCTCTAAGAACGCTCTTCACTTAAACAACTCAAAAGTGCGGCAAAACAAGCAAGGTCCCTTTCGACCGGGATGCTTCTTTTATATACAATAGTGCAGCTTTTGCATCAAGTTTTCCAGAATTCTTAAAACATTACACCTGACACTCGCCCGCAAGAGTTCCTCTGCTATATCAGAAACTTCACATTCACTTGTAGATCTTTGTCTCGCACAATCATATTGTACAGAAGTTTTAAAATACATACACACACACATATATATGTATATATATATAGTCCAGTTACTCCTGAAAAGTTCATGTTTCGCCACCCTGTTATCACTAGCCTCCTGACACAGGAAATAGAAAGAAAACATTTTTAAAAGGGGAAATAAAACCAGCACGGTGTTTCACTACCCTTAAAAGTTGGAACCACAGCCGAGGGAAAGCTAGTGAGCTGCAATCTTGTTGAAGGACTCATGTTTCCACCGGGCAAGGGAGAAAGAGCACTAATTCCACTGGGTTCACCTGAAATGCCAGAGATCTATAAAAGGCCAAGATGGACGGCACCCAGCAGAGCTCCTGAGCAGAGTGGAATGAAACGCTTTCCACCTTCAGCAACTGTCAGCAAGCCACCTGACCAGCGACCATCAAAATGCACAGCTATGGGAGAGGTAGCAATACGGTCGGGAAGGCTCACTGCTCACATGAGCAAAACCAGCCCGGAGGACGCCCGGAGGCCAGCTACGTGCCTGCAGCGAACGAAACGCCTCCACCGCAAGCAGCGTGGAGGCACAGGCCAGCCCAGCCCAGCCCAGCCGCTCCCAGTGACACCTGAGCGCTCGAGCGGAGGACACTGGGCACGGGGACGAGCCTCTCCCAGTGCGCCGGTGGGGGTGGGGCGGGCCCGCAGTACATCCAGCCCTGCCACCACCGTCCTTCGTACCCCCCAGTGCTGGAAAAGCAAGGCCGGAGAAGCGTGGGCTTCGCCCCAGGACTGGCAAGCCAAGCCTTGCGCCGAGCACTCGGCGCCCACACAGCCGAGGCCTCTCGGTGCTTTCACACCCCTGGAGGGCCCGCACCGCACCTGGGACCCGACTTGCCGGGAGGCGCCTCACGCGGGTCTCCCTCAAAGCCTCGTGCCCCCCTCTCCCTGCCCAGGAACCCGTGACCTCGGCTGCCGTTCCCAGTCCCAGCGGAGCTGCAAAGACCCCCTGCGAGTAGGCCAGCGCCGGATCGTTCTCACCGCCAGAGATTTGCACTCCTGCCTGCTTAGATTTCGGAAGAAGCAAATGCACTTTCTGCTCTATCCCCCCTGCCTCCCCCCCCCCCCCAATATTAGACTCGATATGCTTCTAAAAGACGTCTTTGCCGAGAATTGTTCTGGTCTCTGAAAATGCCCGCAAAGCCACCGCCACCCGCCGTGCCGACGATGTGCCTGCCAGGCAGCCGCAAGGGCACTACCTTCTGCCGCCGCCGCCACCTTCGTTTAGAAGGTGGCGGTACGACCCACATTTCAGAGGCCTCATGTCAACGAGGTCGGCTTAGCCATGCTGGGATCCTCCCCACGATTCTCGTTGACCCGTTTACTGATGGTGGAATCGTGTCAACTCGTGAAGAGCCACGGGTGCGCGCGGAGGGTCGCCGTGCGAGAGGGGACACAACGGGGCGGGCTGGGCGTGCCTAGATTTTGTACAACGCGCTGGGCACGTAATCGAACCTGAGCACTGGGCTAACCCCCCGGACGGGATCCTGCACGTACTGCAGTTTCAGGAGCTCGGCGAGGTGCTGGACCACTTTGCCGTCCTCGTTGGTGAGCCCCAGCTGGGCTTTCAGGAAGCTCTGCCGTCGAGAAGCCACGGACTCTTCCGTCTCCCCCTCTCTGATGGGGAGGTGCAGGTGGTGGCAGAAGGCGTAAAGGAAGGCCTTGGCGCACAGCTGAGTCAGGAGGGTCTGGACGTGCATGTGGTAGGTGCTTCCCCGCTTGATCTGCGTGCGGTGGTCAGCGAGCCGGGGGATCAGCAAGCCTCTGTACTGCGGGCAGCGCAGGGTCTTGCTGTCGGCGTCCAGGATGCTGACATACCGACCGTATCGGCTGAGCGAATGCATCATACTGACGCCAGCTGGAGAAGACGATCTGCGAAGAAGGGGAGAGCCACGCTAGCTCTGAGATGCACCACACCTGGGGGGTGTGGTGCACTCCCACGCTCCCACTCTGCACCAGGAAGGAACTGCACGGGAGGGAGGCTTGGCTTGTGCAAGGACGCAGGAACAGAGCGGGTCGGAAGGGGTCGCCCGGACCATCTAGTCTGACCCCCGGCTCCAGCCGGCTCTGCTCACAACAAGCCCGCCGTGTGCAGGGCCTGGTGGAAACACCAGAGAAAAGGCGCAGGAAGCAGGTGACAGGAGGGGGCCTTCTGTGCCCAAGGACCTGGAAAGAGGCTACCGGCAGAGGCGACAGTCTTGGGCTCGGTGGAACAACCGTTCACTGTGCTGTGCCGCCTTCCCGTTCCGTACGTGTGCAGTCCCCCCCACGCACGCCCAGAAAGACGAGTTCTGAGTGGGCCGCTCAGGAGTTGGGTGGGAGTGACCTGGGGGCTTAGCAGGGGCAGCTGGTGTGGGGAATGGGCCTGGCTCTCCCACGCCCAGCTTTCTAAGAAGGATCCTTCAGACTCTGCATCTCAACTGGAAGAAGAGGCAAGGCCCGCATTTTGGGCTGGAGAGAAGCCAAGCGGCCAGTAAGAAGCGTGCCCCCTCTGGTGCAGGGGGAGGCTCTGTGGAACAGGGACGGGGCTAACTTAGCTTTCCCGACGTCCAACACCAAGTCAAGAGAGCCAGCCAACTGAGTGGCTGGGCTGAGGGTACCACACCGGGCTGTATCAGAGTAATGCAGCTGGGACTCTCTGTCTTCACTGCTGGAAAGGGCAAGGGAGGGCAACCCTGCTGGATTAAGGACGGGTCTGCTTGGCCCAACAGACCACTCCCCACAGTGGTCACTTAGAGGCGTCCAGGAAACCTATAAGCAAGTTATGGAAACACAGATCTTCCCCCCCCGGAGGGGGCCCCCCTCCCCGGGGGGGGGGGGGGGGGGGGGGGGGGGCTATACTAGCATCAAAACCAGGAGCCACGGTTGCAAGGAGTTCACAGAGGAGGAGCAAAGGCCTAAGGCAGGCAGAGACACAACCACCCCTGGGCCTTCCAGAAGTTACACTGAACATTTCCCACAATCCCCAACTGTCGGCCATGTTGACTGGGGGGGGGGGCCATACTGCCCACTGGGGCCTAAAGGTAACAGCTGCTGAGCTCCATTCGGCTGTTGCAGCTGCCCGGGCTGCCCTCGCCCCACCCTCAGTTCCAGTCTTACTGGGTTTCCTTCTGGCCGCTCTCTCACCAGGTAAGGAGACAGCAAAGGCAGGCTGCGCTTCTGCCTCTCCGCCTTACCTCTGCAGTCCGATCAGCTTCCACTTCTGCAGATCCGAGATGTGCAAGGGTGACGTGGCCCAGTACTTCACCGGCTTGCCGTACCCCCCGCAACTCGGCACAAAGATGGAGAGCGCCGTTACGAGCTTGTCCACCAAGGCCTTGTCTTCCCCCAGCACAATGAGCGTCCTCCCGCTCAGCAGAGAGTAGATGGCGGGGTGAGCGAAGGGGTACTGCCGGATGAACCGCAGGGCATTCTGCCCCACCTTCTTCCGGGGCCGCTCTCCAGAGTGACCGAGGAGAGGAGCCGGGGAGGGAGTCCGGTCCAAGCTCGTCGATGCCGTGCTGCTGATGTAGCTTGCGGAGTCTGAACACTTGTCTAGGCTCATTTTACTCATCTCTCTGCTGCTCGAGAGATAATGCGGGTCAAGTTCGTAAGTGAGGAGGCCTTCCAAGACACCCTCGTGAGAAGAGCAGTCTGTAAGGTTCACCTGAAATCCCTGGTCACCCTGCCTGGACGGCTGGGGTGGGATACTGACCACACCATCATCCTCACAGTGTTTGGGAGCCGAGTCAGCCTGAGGTTCAAGGAAGGTCGGACTCTCTTTTCCAATGCAACAGGCCGAGTCTATGGGGATGCTGTTTTCTGGCGGAAGACTGCCGTCCAGTTCCTCAGTGTTGTCTGGGTTTAAATCACGGCTGAAGGGAAGCCCTTCTTCTTCGTCATCTGCATAAGGCTCTTCATTAATGGCACTTGGGTAGCTTGCTTTGAAGTCCTCAGGAATGAGCGCTTCCGAGGGACACGTGCTGAGGACCTCGATGCTCTCCTCGCTCACAGTCCTCCTACTCCCTGCGCTGCTCCTCACCACTTGTGGGCTGAGGTGGAGCTGTGGCAAGTCTGCCTGACTTTCAGGATGAGTTGAGGCTGGAGCGGACTTCTCCGTTCCCAGGACTTCAATGCTTTCTCCGCTGCTGACACTTCCTTTCAGATCTGCATCAAGATACTCAGTACTGTCCTGCTGGTCATAACGAATGGGGTCGGTGACTTGTGTTTCCTGGGTATCCTCAATCTCCGGGTCCATCTTGATGGGAACAGACTCAACACTAGATTTGTAAGATCCCAAGCTGACTAATGGTTTAGGGATGGGACAGACCTCCAGACACTTTGCCTCACAGATGCCCAGATTAGGTCCTTCGTAGCCATTCAAGTGCTTTTCATCAGCAAGGAGTAACTCCTCAAAGAGGAAGCTGGTAATAGCCTGTCGCTTCAGAAGTGCCCTGCTGATCCGACTGGTCACAAGGTAACACACGTCACCCCTGAACATTTTTTCAATTTGTTCCAACTGGTCTAGAGTCTGAGTGAAAAAATAAATATCACAGAGTTCCTGAAGAGTCTTGAGTTTTTTGTCAAAACACTTGGCAGATTTTGCCTTGATAAGCTTTGGGGTGTAAGAGGACTGCCGAGGATACAGGTGCCTTTCACTGGGTTCTTCGGGTTTCGAGGTAGTCAATCCTTGTTCGGCATTTTCATCAGCTTGCTCTGTGGCATACTCTGGCTCGTAAGGATGAAAATCAGAATCCTTCAGCTTACTATAAGGATATGATCGGATCTGTTTCAAAAGATCTTGATGCTCAATGATAGATTTTTCAACACTGGCCAGTTCATTAGCTTTCTCAATGGCTTGAGTGGTGTAGTATCCTTTCTCATTGTTTTTCTTCTGGATCTCAGTTTCATTGTGCAAAACAGTTCTAGTGTAATCCAGGTCTTTCAGCTTTTTTTCCAGTTCATTGGCAAATGCTTTCCTGTTTCCTGTCTTTAGACATTCTGAAGCTTTTGAGAACTCCATGGAGAGTTCCTGAAACATCTGCATAATTTTCTGTTCATCAGCAGAAATATATGCCATGCAGAAAGGCCTGACAAAGCCCCTCGCCTCAAGATCATAGAGGGTCAGGTGGTGCACATAAGCAAAAGCCCCTTCCTTGGAATCACCCAGCACTACTTTAGAATCCTCCACAAAGTTCAGCTTCGGGTACGGGCACCCAGGAGGATGCCCCACGAAAGAGGCCTGATAGTCCACTGACATGATGCGGAGGGAAAAATAGTTGAGATCAAAGGTGCCAGAAACTTTGGCATCGTCTGGGATGGTGAGCAAAGGCTGGGGCCCCACTTGCTCCGAGAATTCTGAGATAAGGATGAAGTCCCGGGTGAACTTGGCACCTGAAAGCTTGGACCAGGGGTTGGCCCCATGGCTGGCAAAAGGAAAGAGCGGGACAGAGTATTCCTCAGGCAAGGCTGGTTCATTGTACACCTCCTCCTCGTACTCCTCTTCTTTGGTAAATGCCACCACATCTGGGGCGCTGATCATGTTTCCAGGTTGGGATTATGAAGGTGCATGGAGAAAGCAAGCCAGTCTCTTGCCCACAAACAGTCAAGCAGGATCCATTGGCAGCAGATGCGAAAGTGGGAGCAGAGGGGCGTTTCTCTGCCTTTCCTCTCCTTGGCTTTCTTCACCTGACAAGCAGCTTTCCCCCTCTCCCCTTCAAGCCTCTGCAGGGCACGGGACGGGCCAAGGCCTCGCTTCCCCTCTGCCTCCTCGTCACTGGCACAGGGGCACTTTCCTCCCCCGCACAAAGGCCCTCTTGCGCTCTTCCGCTGTCTCGGGGCTACTCGGCCCTCACCTGAGGGAAAACGGGGAGGGGGAGGCCGGGGTCAATCCTCTTCACCAGGCGAATCGGTCTTGGCAGGGCCCTTCATTCTGGGGTCGCTTCCTCCCTTCAACCCCTCGCCCAGGTTGGGATGCCCTTGAGTCGAGCTCCCCCAGGTGCCTGGGGGTCCGCCGGCGGCGTCTCTCCTGCTCTGCCCCCGGCCTCGACTTCCCCTCCCTGGGCAGTGGGCTCACCCCCTCCGCTTGCTTCCCCCGCCGCAAAAAGGGGGCGCTAGGACCAGCCCGGCCCCCGCGCGTCTCCCCGCCGCCCCTCCGCCCCGCGCCTGCCCTGGAACTGTCGCTTCCGGCTCACAACAGCCGACGCCGCCACAACCTGCCAGCCATCTTGGAGTCACATGACCCGCTGGGATGTGACCCTCCTGACCCCGGAAGCAATTCTCCCTCGCCCTTCAGCCGCAAATACACCGCGCGGTTTTCTTTAAAAGTGTGCGTGCGCGTGTGTAGGTGTGTAGATATGTGGGAGGTTATGTACAAGGAAACATAATTAAATATGTAAAATGCTTAAAATGACAGACGAGGCTGAGCAGCCGCGAGGCATTCTGGGGGTTGTAGTCCCCCTTCTCTTTTAAACGGCCTCCTCCTTTTTTCCCCGTCTCGTCATGCTGCACGGCCAAGTGGTGCAGCCAAGGCCTCGCCGAGAAGCGAAACCCACTCAGCGCATCCCAGCTGAAACTAATAGCGGCGCCGCGGCACGTCGGACCCGCAGGGCATTCTGGGAGCTGCGCTTCTGACGCAGGCGCGCCCCGCCTCTGCGGGTTGGCCCGCCCCGCCTCGCTTTACGGCAAGGCTGCTCCCGCCCGCCAATCGCCTTCGTCGCCGGCGTTACGACGGTGGCTGGCGCGGATTACAGCTGACGGGCAGGAAGGCGCGCGTGTGCGGAGACGGCGGCGCGGGGGCCTTGAGGGGGAGTGGGGGGCCGGCTGGGGTGCAGAAGTCGGGGAGGGGGCCAGGCGGAGGGGCAGGGGCGCCGCTCGCCCGGTGAGGCCCTCAGGGGGAGTCGGGGGCAGCTGAGGCGGGCGCGTCGGGGAGGGGAAAGGGCGGGGATGCCTCGCTAGTGGCGGAGGAGCTGGGCGGGGGCACGGAGAGATTGCCAAGGGACTGGCTTTTGTGGAGGGGGGGAAGAAAACAAGTCCAGTGGCAGCTGGGGCGTGGGGGGCGTGGGGAGAATAGGAAGGCCGAGCAGTTAGAGCGAGGCCTGCTTTGGACCTGGAGCCCTGCCGAGCTGAAAGGACTCCCGGGGTTGAGTGGCCGCTGAGGGGCGCAAGGGCCCCTTGCTCTGCTCAGGTGCTCGTTGGTCGCCAGCGAGCTGGATCGCTCGTGAGTTCGCCTGCGTGACACCTTGGGAGCCTTACGAGCTCAGCACACCTGGAGTGCTGCAGCCTTGAATCGGCCGTGGGCGGCGAGTGGATGATTGCCTTCCGTGCCGGAACTGAGGTTACCTCTCCTGGCCCAACTTTGCCTGCCATTTCTGTTCATCAAGGCTGTAAGCAGAGGACTGCAAAGCAGAGTTCTGAAGAAGCCTCCAATATGCCTCAGCAGTCTGGGAAATGGCCCCCACTCTCAGGATGATAAGACACACCAGACTGTTGGCTTGCTGTGGAGGCAGGTGGTTCTCTCAGTCCTGGAATCTCTGCTTCTCCCAGGCTGCTGAGGGCATGATGCCCCGGAACATCCAGAAGGTTCTCTGTGTGGCTGAGAAAAATGATGCTGCCAGGGGGATTGCGGACATCCTTTCTAATGGCAGGATGAAGAGGGTAGGAGATTACAACAATGTCATTTATCTGTTTCCCTGAATGTGGAGCTTGTCCTGCCCCAGAAGCTTGGTGGGAGGGGAGTGACAACCGACTTAAAAATGTACAGCACACAATTAACCTCACACAGAAGTAGAGCACTCCAAACACGTTTAATGATGATGCTTTGAAAGAATCTTGCTTTTAGTAAAGAATTTCCTTTGGACGAATCCCAGGCCTCCAAGGTTCTACAGTACTACTAGTGAAAAATATATACAGTGCAAACATTGACACAACCTTCAGGCAGGCCGTTCTCATTCCCTGCAGAGGCTGAGAGTCGCTTCAAATATGCCAAGTTCTCATACGGAAAGCACATGTCCCCAGCCTGAGTGTAGCATGTCAGTTGTCTAGTTTGCTGCACGTTGATTTCCAGGCATCTCAAGACATGCACACAGCTAAAGATGTGTTCATTGTGAACTCAGCTGTGCCCCTATAGGCCACTTGAAGACCTGAATAATACAGGCAGTGTCACGGTCTATTCAGCTGTCCACGCAAGCATGATAGCCTTTACTTGAAAGACTCATTGCAGAAATGTGTCCCTGTTACCTCATTTTTTATCCATGTATTGATTTCATGGCAATCTGCAGTTTCTTATGTGCTGGAATTGTGTCCTTTCCTTTCTAGAGAGAAGGGCTTTCCAAATTCAACAAAATATATGAATGCCAGTATCACATGCTTGGTCAGGTTTGTGTTCTGCTATCCTTTATTGTTATTTATTTCATTGCTATACTGCTTCTTAGCTGGAGCTCTCCGAACGGTTTACAGCATTGTGATGTCAGCTGTGTGTACATATACACACTGTGTATGTATCTCTGTAGTAAACACAAGAGTTGCAGATGTAACAGATGCGGTATCACTATTGCATCTGATTAATGTCTTTACGAACAAATGTTTACGCTTAAAAATAAGGCTGCATGCATATCCCCCAACGTCTGCCTAGATAGGAAGAGCGTGACGAAAGAACTGGGCGCACCACCTGTTTTTGAAGCTAGCATAAAATAATAACTTCAGATTAGTGAGGTGGAAGGAAGGAAAAAAGTGTTTAATGGATGCATGTTCAAGCAGGAAAATAAAAGCCGGTTGGGACAAGATGCTGTGATGTGGGAGGGACAGCTTGCTAGAATGCAGCTGACCCAACCAAAGGTGGTATAATTTTGAGGATCAGATGCTGGGAACAAACAGATGGGCTGTGAGCTGTGTGCTTCACTTGTGTGTTTCCCAGAGCCATCTGGGTGGCCATTCCTAGGAGCAGGACTGCTGAATTTAGCTTCTAAAGAAGGAGAAGTATTTTCTCCGGTTCAGCAGAGTGTTTTCTGTAGACTCACTCCAGTTTCTGAGTAGACACTGCTTGCAACTTTGTCGTGCGTTTACCTTGCAGTTGTGAAGGATGAATGCTAGTTCATATAAACGAGATGTTCTGGAGTCAGAAAACATTTTTCGTCCTTTTTAGGAAGCCAAATCAAGTGTTATAGAAATGGCTATAACCGCTTTCTTGATCATTTGCTCTCAGAAACCTTTACCTTAGAAGGCCACTACAGGCAGAGAGTGTTGAACATTCTTTGCTGAGGATAATCCTGGTTCCTCTTGCTTCTTGCAGAATGTGACTGTGGTGATGACATCAGTGTCTGGACACTTGCTGACACATGACTTCAAGTTGCCTTATCGAAAATGGTATGTACTGAGAGAACTCTGAGGAGAATTGTGTTTCTTGTGCTTCTGCAATGGGATTCTGAGGAAGAGCAAAAACTATCAAAAATTATGTCTGACAAGAAGTTTAGCATCTGGGAACTCGCTCTTATCTTTTGATTCCTGTTTCTCTGGTCTTTTTACTTTACATCTTGCCGTCAATGCTCTGTCCCCAGGCACAGCTGCAACCCGCTTGTCCTCTTTGATGCTGCAATTGAGAAATACTGCCCTGAAAACTACATAGACATTAAGGTGTGAGCTGGTTTTCTGCTGTTATCACAGGAAGCTTGTTATACTTTGCCCACTTTCCTGCGTGTCGAAAGAGGTTTGCCGAGCGCACAAACGTAAGGGGTGTGTTGGGAACAGCACAGCTTCTCTGTTGCTGCAGAGCAGTTTGTTTCCATCACCTGCTGTGACAGGGCAGGGAGCGATTAAATTGAGCGGCATCGTGTGTGGGGTTTCCTTCCTTTCACTCTTTCAACTTCTGCTATTCCTGATTCTAGCGGACCCTCGAGCGAGAAGTACAGCAGTGCCAGGCACTAGTGATCTGGACGGACTGTGACCGTGAAGGAGAGAACATCGGCTTCGAAATCATTGATGTTTGCAAGGCAGGTGCGTGGAGGTGGGGGCAGGGGGGCTGTTGCCGTGGCTCTCGATCCTGAAGCGACCCTCTGAAATAGAAGCATTGGCCTGTGGGGAACATGTATGCCAAGCATCGCTCCTGGAGCAAACCTTTCCCAAGTGGAGCCTGTGCTTGCGGCCACGTAACCCCTTTCCCTGCCTGAAACGCTCTTACGATGGCATGCCGCAGCCAGGAATGGGGTGCTCAACAGTTTTAGCCTGCTGTTGGGTTCTCTCAGGGTTCCCGGGAGAACACATGCTGCCACAGTTTATGGGGTGCCCCCAGCTTAGCACCTTCTGCGTCCGATGCTGCTCTGCTGTGCATTCGAGCCAGAAGAAAAATCGGCCCGGAATGGGGGACCGCAGCTGGATAACTGGCCACGAACAACAGTGGGGGGTGCACGCCTGTTCCGTCCCGTCTTGAGCTCGGCACGCCTTCCATGCCTCCCCTCGGGACCTCCTGCAGTGACGTAAAGCCTCTTAAGGTGGACACTGCGATCTCGGGTGGCTTGCCGGGGTACTAACGAGGCTTATTCTTTACCCGTGTTGCTTCTCCCACCTAAATGTCCCGAGTGGAGCCGGGGGCCAGACGAGACGGCCCAGGAGGCCCCTTCTGGCTCGCCCTGTCTGTGTTTCTAAATGGGCCTTCGATCTCTCTTTTGGGCGGGCAGTAAAGCCAGGTCTCCAGGTGTTCCGAGCCCGCTTCTCCGAGATCACACCTCGTGCCATACAAGCCGCCTGTGAGAACCTCACCCAGCCCGATCAGAATGTGAGCGACGCCGTGGATGTGAGGCAGGAATTGGATCTCAGGATAGGTATGGGAACGAGTCGTGTGCACACACCCAGGCCCCCTCCCTTCCGCCAAAAAGTGACCCTCAAGGTGGCAGAGCTGGCTGAGGGGTCATGGGAGTTGTGGTCCAGCCTGAAGAGTCTGGTTGATGTCACTGACTGGGTCCCTTGTGTAACTGTTGCTGCTCCAGTGTGGATGGTTTAGTTTAATAGTAGCTTTTTTTTGGCTCCCCGTTTTTGTCCAGGTGCTGCCTTTACCCGATTCCAGACGATGAGACTGCAGAAAACCTTTCCCGATGTTTTAGCAGAACAGCTGATCAGCTACGGGAGCTGCCAGTTCCCAACGCTGGGGTTTGTGGTGGAAAGGTTTAAAGCCATTCAGTCCTTTGTTCCGGAGACGTTCTACAAGATTAAGGGTAGGTTTCAGGATACCTAAAGCAGGAGTTAAAACCCTTGAATAGCTGCATGTGTATTCACAAAATTCTTCTCGTGTTGATAAATGGCCGGCATTGTCAAACATGGCTTGACACTATTCTTGACACTACTGGAGATCACAGGTGCTTTGTCCACAACTGAAACTTGTGTTGTGTTCATCTCATAATGAGCAACTCTGTGCCCCAGTTGTGTCGTGCTCTCTCTCTCAGCACAATTCCGCTGTGTTACCACCGGGATGGCCCCGTTTCTCACTGGTGTCTGCCGTCTTTCTGTAGTGACCCACGACCACGAGGAAGGCTCCGTGGACTTCAAGTGGAAGAGGAACCGTCTCTTCAACCATACAGCGTGCCTCGTTCTCTACCACATGTGCATGGAGGTAGGACACTGCACAGGCCCGGCCAGAACCCTGTAACATCCCAAGGCCCCTGGAGAGCCCTTAGGATGCTTGTTTTTGCCCTAGGATCCAGTAGCCACGGTTGTGGAAGTCGGGAGCAAGCCGAAGAGTAAATGGAGGCCCCTGCCATTGGACACGGTGGTATGTTTGGGAAAAGGTGGCCCTTCGACTTAGGATATATTCGAGGGGCTTCAAAGGAGCCTTTTATTCCACCCCTGGCCCTGAAGCTGATTTTCTAATGCATCGTCTTTTAGAAAGCCTCAGAAACATAGTTCTACAAATAGATCTTACGGACCAGCCGCGCTCAGTACATTTCAGTAAATGTGTGGAGTGGGGAAAGAGGAGGGGAAGGGAGCACAAATCCAGGTTCTTTAGTCTAAAGCTTCCTTAACTTTGGCATGTTTGGTAGAAGGTACAAGAGAGAGAGGAGGGCAAGTCTCTAAAAGCTCAAATCCCGTGCAGTGGAAGCCAGGAAATGGATGCCAACACTGGTTAGATGGGTGTGTGGAATTTAAATAGTGGCATGGTCCTACTTACTGTGCTGTGGTGGGGATGGTCAGGCAATTTACCTTCCCATGCAGGGTTCAAATGCTTTTTTCCTTACCCTCATCCAATACAGGAACTTGAGAAGTTGGCCTCTCGTAAGCTGAAAATAAATGCCAAAGAAACCATGAAGATTGCTGAAAAGCTCTACACTCAGGGGTAAACACTGCGGGTTTTTTGGTGTGCATCTGTCTTATAAAATGAGCGAGATTCAAGTCGGTCCTTTTAGGAATAGCTGCAGAGGGACATGGATGACTGATCACAAGTCATTCTGGGATATTTTTAGTTCCGGTACTGCTATGTCAGTGTCCTCATGGGTGTTTTGTCGAATTTTGATACCCTTTCCAATCCTTTAGAGATGCCACCACCTGAAAATGCAGCTAAAATTGTAGGTCGTCTTGCAAGAAGTGGATGTAGCTTTGTTTAAAGTCGGCACTTTAGACTTCCTTTTTCTAAACTCTGAATTTCTGTTTAAGGTACATAAGCTATCCTCGAACAGAGACCAACATCTTCCCCAAAGACTTAAACCTCCCTGGCTTGGTGCAGCTTCAGACACAAGACCCCCAGTGGGGGGCTTTTGCGCAAAGGATTCTAGACCAGGGTGGGCCAACCCCACGGCAAGGAAATAAATCAGACCAGGCCCACCCCCCTATTCATCCTACAAAATACGCAGGTAACTTGCAGGTGAGCCTGTGCGACCGGAGGCGCTTTGCTTGCTGCTTGCTCCTCTTCTGGATAAGTGACTCGAATTCATCTGCTTCCCTGGGTTTCCCCGACCTGCTGCTACCGGAGGGCCTGTGACTGGTTGCCCACCTGGAAAACACAAGGACTCGCGCCGTCGCATAAAATGCCCGGCCAGTGTTAGAACGAGGTGCAGAGAAGCACTGAGGCCGAACCCTCCACTCTGAACTTGCACGTGAAGCCGGATCAGCCTGGGGTGATGCTGGGATTCAGAGATGCATGGCAAAGATGCACGCGGAGGTGGGACCGGCCCCTTTAAGCCCAACCCAGGCCGGGAAGGTGGGCCAAACCCTTAAGGAATCCCAGCGTAAGAGAGCGGAACAGCCAGTCATGCGGGCTCTTTTGAGGCGTAAGAGGCGTGGCTTGCCCTGAGGTCTCCTCGGAAGCTTCCCTCCATGCCGTCATTCCCAGCATGTGTGCCTTGGTTGAATAACCCTGTAAAGGCCACCCTAAGCAAAGAGGATCCCCTTCCTGGTGTGTCTGAATGTCTCCCTGGTTTGGCCTTGCTTCCTTCCAGAGCTTTTGTGGGAGAGCAGGTCATTTGTGAGGCTCCTCCGCATCTGCTGTGAGCTGCTCACTCTCCCCCTCTTGAGGAAGAGCCCACCCTCTGGCCGAGCTTCTGCTTTGGGCTCCTCGATGAAGAAGGAGAAGGAACGTCCCAACTTACTATATATACTCCTGCCCACCTCCAGAACTGCCCAAGAATTGAACAAATATTCCCCTGTGCTTGCCCTTAGGGGAATGACCAGCGGCTGTACGAATTCATTGTTCGCCATTTCCTGGCCTGCTGTTCCCAAGATGCTAAGGGGCAGGAGACGACCGTGGAGGTTGACATAGCGCACGAGCGCTTCGTCGCCAGTGGGCTGATGATCCTGGCCAGGAATTACCTGGACGTGTATCCTTACGAGAGGTGGAGTGACAAGGTGGGTGAGAGCGAGCGCAGGAGCGGTTCTGTGTAGCGGTAAGCAGTGGTGCTCGTTCAGTGTGTTGGGGTGCGATGAAGGAGCCGGCCGCCTGGCCGCTGCAGCCCCCGTCTTCCCCTGCCTTAACATTAAACTTACAACCATTCAACCTGCAGCTGAATGGCGGATACACGGGGCACAAAGAAGTCATCTCAGTACTTCAGGTATAGATACAGGTATTAAGCAAGACGACTCGACCTGTGGTGGCAGGTTTCATAGTTTAGTTGTGTTCCGTGCAGAGAAGAGGATGCCTGCTTTCTGTCACGGGTCCCCCTTCCTTCAACTTCAGAGAATGACTTCTGATTCTAGTATTAGGAGAGGAGAAAAACATCTCTGTATTCTGTTACTCTGCACCGGGTGTAGTTTTACACCCTTCTTATTGTATCCCCCATTGCTTCCCAAGCTGGAGATCCCCAAACATGACCTCCCCTCCGGGGACTGTTCTCTCTCCTCCTGCTCCGCCCCACTCACAGGTCATCCCCATTTATGAGAGAGGGTCTCGCTTCCAGCCCACCACCGTGGAGATGGTTGATGGGGAAACCAGCCCCCCGCAGCTGCTCACAGAAGCCGACCTCATCTCCCTCATGGAGAAGCACGGGATCGGTCAGTTCGTGCCTCTGCGCTCGCGGCTCTCGTGCCGCCTCCGGCCCGCCTGAGCACACGGTCGTCGTCCTGGGGCTCCCCAGCTCGGGGGGGCTGCCCGGACGGGCGTGCCCCGCAGAGTCCGTGCACTGCTGGTGCAAAAGGGCCGGGAAGCTCAGGAGGGGCGGGCGGATGCTGGGGAGCCTCAGCGGAGGGCGGGCAAGCGGTGCTCGTGCGCACGGGGCTGAGCGGCGGGCGGGGGAGGCTGACGCGTGGCCCGGAGGGGGACTGGGCTGCAACTCCTGCCCGCTCTGGTCGTTCGCGGGGCTTTCTGGCTGCGGCAGATGCCGCTGAACCCACTCCCTCCCTCCCTCCCGCTCATCGGGGGCAGATTCGTGCGTGGGGAGCACGGCGGGACTCGGGCCTTGTCCAGGTCCAGTGCGGCCCAGCAGGCAGAGTGCTGGACCAGGAGTGGGAAGAGCCACGTGCTGGTCCCCACTCGGCCACAAAGCTCCTGGGTCTTGGTGGTCCAGTCGCCAGTTCTCAGCCCGATCAGGCTCATGGGGTTGCTGTGCGGATGAAAATGGGAAGGGAGGGAAGGGGAAGGGACAGGCAGGATGTAAAGAAGGGGCAAGGGCCCCTCCCCGCCCTCGCCCCAGACCTGACGGGATCGCCTGCTTGCAGGGACCGACGCCACCCACGCGGAGCACATCGAGACCATCAAGTCCCGCATGTACGTGGGGCTCACTCCGGAGCAGAGGTTCCTTCCGGGGCACCTGGGCATGGGGCTGGTGGAAGGTAAGGACGGCGCTTCCGGGGAGTTCAGGCTTCTGCTGCCCTGGCTCCCCCTCTCTATGCGAAAATCTCTCTCTGCCAGGCTACGATTCCATGGGCTACGAGATGTCCAAGCCGGACCTTCGAGCCGAACTCGAGGGCGACCTGAAGCTCATTTGCGAAGGGAAGAAGGACCGTTCCCTCGTGCTGCGCGAGCAGATCCGGAAGTACCAGCAGGTCTTCATGGCAGCCGTGCAGAAGGCCAAGAAGTAAGGGCGGAGAGTCTGCCGGAGCCCCCGGTGTCGTGCTGCTCGAACGTGGGCGCTAGCGTGCGTCTGTGGGCCCATTCGGTAGAGAGAGGGGCCTACACATGCAACGCCTGGGCGCAAAGCGTTCCTTTCCCCCTGGAGCCACGCACGAATCCTTCCCGGTGGCGGTCCCTCATCTGCAGCATGGAAGTGCGCCTCGTGCAAGGGGAAGTGGTATCTGCACACGTCACGGAAGGAGTGGCTGGCTCGCCCCGGGCCCTGATGGCGCTTCTTTAGGTCGGCGCCACCACAGGTGGCGTGGAAGCCCAGAGCAGTCACGCTCGTAGCAAGCCTGAAGCACTTTTGTGTCTCGCCTTCGTTTGCGCCGTTGCTTGTCTCCTGAATTGCTTCGCCCTTCATTCTTTTAAGAAAAGGAATGGAGGCCCACATTCTCCTCTCCACTCGTGGTACGTGGCCTGTCCACTGAAGCCACGCATGCCACGCTTCAGCCCAAGCGGCCGCTTTGTTTTCCCCTCTCATTTCCGGTGTTTTTCCCTTCCCTGTTCCTGTGTTTTGTTCTGCACTTTGCCTTCACTTCACCTCTATTAGCATCTGTTGTTGAATTCTCACCCGCCAGCATTGCTCAGCCAGCCTGGCCAGTGCTCCAGGGAGATGGGAGCCGTAGTCCATACACCTCTGGGAGGCCCCCGGCTTCCCATCCCCAGTCTAGCATCTGGCCTCCCTCAGCCTTTCCTGCTGGAATTTGCCAGTGGGCTTTGTGAGCAGTCGCTCAACTCCACGAATCCTTCGAACAGAACAGCTGGGGGCAGGAAGAAGCAGCGTGGCTTATCCTTCTGTTCCCACAGGCTGGACGAGGCTCTCGCTCAGCACTTTGGGGAAGCGGCCCACGTCGCGCAGCAAGAAGAACTCTACCCCGCGGTGCCGGATCCCATAAGGAAATGCCCCCAGTGCAACAGTGACATGGTCTTGAAGACGAAGAAGAACGGAGGGTGTGTGAGAGAGAGGAGAGGAGGCAGCCTTGGAAGGAGGAAGGCGATGGGAGGCGGGAGCCGCTGTAGGAGAAAGTGAATGCCGGAGCAGCAGGGAGAGTGAAAGCCACTGGCCGTTGGGCGGGGAGGGAGGCTTGAGTGTGACAGGAGGGGAAGACATGATGGGAGACGAGGAAGAAGGCTTAGCGAGCTAGTGGGGGAAGGAAGACAACGTGCCGCAAGCACCTGTGTTCTGCTGGAGCTTCTGGACCAGCAAATTTGGGCTGAAGCGGTGCCAAGTCCAGAGCCAGTGTCTGCACTTCACGTGACTAAAGGAGAACACTGGAACTGGGAAACCTGCGGGGCAAAGAATTTGGCCATTTCCACAGAGGGATTCCAAAAAGTCCCCTCCCGTGTGGCGTCGTGGTTAAGAGTGCAGACTGGGACTCGGGCTGTCTGGGTTTTAGTCCCCACTCCTGAGCTCACTTTGGGCCAGCCACAGACGCGCAAACCTGCTTCACCGGGTTTTTGGGGTGTGAATAAAATGAAGGGGGGGGGGAGACCTTGGTAAGCCACTTTGGATCCTCTGTAAGAAGGAATGAAACCGAATATAAATATAATAAATCAGCCCCTCGTGACTGGTAGGCCTCAGAAATCTTCAGCTCCTTAAATCAGAAGGTAAGAGGACCCCCATCCTGGCGCCAAAAGCAAGAATGTATGTTGTAAAAACAGTAAGCCTCGTGTTACCCATTGTGGCTGGAAACAAAAGGCTAGAATGCTCTCTGCTTGCAGCGAAGCCTCCCGGGCCTGGTCCACAAAAATTAGCTCACCTGGTTCCCCATGCACACCTGCGGTCTCGGCAGCACGTCCAGGGGTGGGGCGAGCGGGACAGGCCCATGTCTTGGCACTTGCCTGTTCCTGCCCGTGCTTTACAACTGCACCGTTCCCCAGGTTCTACCTCAGCTGCCTGGGCTACCCCGCCTGCAGGACGGCCGTGTGGTTCCCCGATTCTGTGCTGGAAGTCAGCAAGGACGGCTCCATCTGCGACGTGTGCAAGCCGCATCCGGTGCACAGGTGAGCCCCTGGGGGGGAGGCGGCGTCCCGGCGTGGCCACGTCCCAGCTGGGCACGTGCGGAGCAGCGGGACGGCTTGCTGCAGGCGGACCTGCGCGCAGGTGTCGGGGAGGGGCGCCTGCTCCTGTCCCCCCCCCCCGCAGGAGAACCGCGGGTCGAGTTTGAACTTTGGCTAGCCTCCCAGAGAGCTCTGGCTGTGGGGCAGTGTGAACATGGGGCGGAGCGAGCATTCCCGTCAGTGCCCGTGAACGCTTGTCTAACACGTGCAGGCGCCCCTCCTGAGGGAGACACCTTGAGAGAAGTGGAGGGAGAGGGCAGGCTCGGAGGTGGATCTTCACCTCCTCTGGAAGCTCTTGGGTTGACCTTCGCGAGACGGCAGGCGCGCCCGCCTGGACGACGTGGTCCGGGTTAGGGAAGGGCCCGCAGGCCTAATCTGACCCATGGAGGCTGCCCCTCCGACCCACGGCGCCTCCCTAGATTCCTCCAGGAGCAGGGCTAGCCCAGGCATGGGGGAATCCGGGCCAGGAGAGGCCAGCTCCCTAGGCAGCCGTTCTTCCTCCAGAAAAGAGGGGCTTGCTGCCAAAATTCAGTGGTGAAGCACTGCATGGGTTTCAGCGACGTCCGTCCATTCCAAGGCCGAAGCATGCAACCTCCCCCCCCTTCTGCTGCCCCGATGGCAGTGCGGCCCACGGAACGCCAGGCAGCGGGGATGGACTGCCGGGCCAACGGCAGTCCTCCGCCGCTGCTCACCGATTCCTGGCTTTGGCGCATGCCCTACCTTCCTGCCAAACACGGCCCGCACGGCGGCTGAACGCGCCCCCCGAGCCCCTCCTGGGGCCGCCCGTCCTGCCCGGGGCTGACTGCCGTCACTGTCTTGCAGGCTGAAGCTGAAGTTCAGGCGAGGCAGCCTCCCCGCCATGATGCCGCTGGAGTTCGTGGGCTGCATCGGGGGCTGCGAGGAAACCCTGCGCCACATCCTGGACCTGAAGTACCTGCAGGGGCCCCCGAGGCCTCTGCAGCCGGCCGGCCAGCCCAACACCCTCCCGCAGGCCAGCCCTGCCCGGCGCCGCCAGGCCAGCCCCCCGCGCAGCCGGCCCCCGCCCCCCGCTTGGCCGGCCAGCAGCGCCCCCACCGTCCCCCCCGACGCCGACAACGCGGTGGTGTGCAACTGTGGCGAGGAGGCCGCGCTGCTCACGGTCCGGAAGGAGGGCCCCAACAAGGGCAGGCAGTTCTTCAAGTGCGGCGCCGGCAGCTGCAGCTTCTTCCTGTGGGCCGACCAGGGCGCGGGGCCATCCGGGGGCTCTGCCGCCCCCCCGGGCTCCTCGCACGGAGGGGAAAGGCGCGCTGGCCGCTCGTGGAGCCACGGCTCTGACCCAGGCGGCGGCGGCGGAGGAGGAGGAGGAGGAGGAGCCGGGCGGGGCGGCCCCGCGGGTGCCCTGTGCCGGTGCGAGCAGCCTGCGGTCACCAGGACCGTGCAGAAGGAGGGCCCCAACCGGGGGCGCCCGTTCCACACCTGCGCCAAGCCCCGGGAGCAGCAGTGCGGCTTCTTCCAGTGGGTGGACGAGAACACGGCGCCAGGTGAGGGGAGGGGCCGGAGGGCGGGGGGCAGCGGGGGCCCTCCCGCTGGCTGGGCCTCTCCCTCCCGAGGTCCCTTTTTATTGCTCCAGTGTTTCAAGACCTGTGTTACTTGGGGTTTTATTGTTAGCTGAATCTTTAGGATGCTGTGTTTGATTCGTACATTTTGTATCGTTAAACCATCCCGAGATTTCGGTGATGGATCACGGTTCTCTGGTAGCAGCAGGGAGACCCTCGAGGGGAAGAGAGCAGCAGTGCCCGCTACTGCAGGGGGCATTTTCGACGGCCCATGGCAGCAGCCCTGCGTATAAGTCGTATGGTTCAACTACAGCCGATTAGCCCCAAAACCACAAGGCAGGCCCCCTGCTTTCGACAGTCTGCACGCTGGGTTGTCGCCACGTGCGAACCAGGCCAACCCGTCTCCCTGCTTGCTTTGCAGCAAGCCTCCCTTCCAGCCGCCTCTTCGGTGAAGGGGACCTGTGGGGAGCAGGAGCCAAAGCGAAAAGGTCGCACAGCGATTCTTCCCTCAAGGCGCCCACCAGCAAGAGGCTGCAGACCTGTGGGGTTTGCCGCCAGCCTGGCCACACCAGGAGGACGTGTCCGCAGAATCGCTGAAGCCGGCAGGATTCCCACGGGGCCTGGAGGAGGATGGCAGCGGTGGACTGCACGAGATGCGGCGAGGACGGGAAGCCTCTTCCCAGCACGAGCCCCTTTGGGACTTGCACCCGGAGAAGAGAGCCATAGAGCAGACACCCCACCCTGTTCTCTTCCCTTGGGTCTGGTCAGAGGTTTGGACTGAGCTGGTGAAGTGGGAACTAGCTTTGCAAACAGCTCCTATGCAACAGCCCGTAAGTCTCGCGTATAATTTTCAATTACAGGCTTCCTTTGTAAGCCCCTGTGCAATTTAGACTTCCGTTTGTTTCTTTGAAGTGAGGCAAACTCCACATTTTGAAACCTCGGGCAGAAGTTTTACGGCCCTCTGTGTGCTTCTTGGGCAGTGTTTTAATGTAACGTGAAAACGTGGGGAATTATGCAAAAGATTAACTCACAGATTCCCTGTTCCCCAAGAGAAGATGGGAGGTAGAATTATACATGCTTAAATCCTTTCATGTAGATTTTGCCCCTCTAATGTCAAAATGTTATAGGCATTTTTACAGAAGAGCCTGTAAGAAGACTGTGCTTATCTGGGAAACTCAACTTTACAGTTGAGTTACCAGCGATGGAGAATTCCAGCATCCCTATTCTTGGTTATAAGCCCCTTACTCCAAAAAGAAGAACTTTTCTCAAGCACTTCTACAAAAGAATACACAGAATATTTGCAACACAGAATTTAATCTTGGTTTTCCCATCTTGGCTGGTTAAATACCATACTTTTATCACAGGGTACATGATTTGATTACAGATGGGTTCAAGTAATTTATTTCCTCTTTTAATTAAATTTGCTTGTAAAGCTCTGCAATGTTTCATTCCACCTTCCTTGCAGCTTTCAAGGCATCTCAGGTTCTGCACTGGAGTGCAGAAGAAAGAAAGGGAGAGAAGGTATGAGGGGCACCTGGGACCATTTTTTGCAGGAAAAGCGGCTTAGTCTTCACAGCTCCAGGAGTGGTGGAGTTGCCCCTTTAAGGCTGTCTGGCCCAGTGCTTCCACCCACTTCTTTGACTGCAAGAGCGGAGCAAAGCTCGCCCAGCCCTTTCCCTCATTTTCTCCCCACTGGTGGAATGCTGGGCACGCTGCCAGGCCGAAGCCGGTGTGTCAAGTCCTGTTCTTCAGGTCCAGTTTGGATACAGCTAGGTCTGCAGTGTCCCCAGCCTTGACTATTATATTCAACCCAGGTTCCACTTTAAATATAATACATACATATACATATTCTATAATGGCCTTTATTTTTACCTGTACCATCTGGAGAAACGTCTCCCCTTTCCTACAGCAGCTTTAAAGGTTAAAGAAATCGGAGCATACAGAACAAAACATCAAACCCATCAAATGATCCTTACAGGGGGGGTACACCCAAACATACATACAGCCCCAGGGTTTCCCCTCCTTACAGTATATACAAATTCAGTCCTCAAACATCAGTAAGAAAACAAGAAGTGAGAGGGGCAGAAACTCATTTTTTCAGGCTCAAAAGATGAGCATTAGCACTGAAGGGTAAATTAAATTCATCTCATGACAAGTTCTTGCCATCACTGCACTATGATTATTTCTTCTGAGACGTCATGTCCGCCCACAGACCACTCCAACAACCAATTTTGCCGTTGCCACCTTCTTTGAAAAGCAGAGTTCCTTTAAATAGGGGGTGATTCGGTTAGCTGAATCGGTTAGAGGTTCACATGGGAACTCGCTCACAGGGTAATTTTAAGGAAAAGGCCACTCCAAGGCCAGTTTTGCTCGAGAGAAATGATTGGTACAGAAAAGGTCTATGGGCAGAATGTACCGAGTTCCAACTGAGAGTAAAAAGGAGAGAAAATAGAATATATCTGGCTTCTTCAAACAAGACATTCTTCTGATTTGCTATGTGCCAGAGGAAAGAGGGCAAAGGTCTTCAGCTACACAGTCATTCAAGTCCGAATAACGAAAAGGTAGCCGTTGCTACTTCCAGTTACAGCTTACAGGGAAGCAGGGACCCTCCCTTTGCATCGTTCAAGGGATGCATTTGCGCCCCCAAAGACACCGCAACCAAGAGAGGAGGGCTGGGCAGCCGGGTGACGGGCTAAGTTGGCCAACTCTCGGGACTTCCTGTCCAGAAAATCAAGACACGCCTGTCCTGCCGCACCCTCCAAGACGCTTCACGGCGATCGCTATGCAGTAGTTGTCGGTATCGGTGGCAAAGACTTCGGCCACTTCAGCGGGTACGTAACTAAAGCGAGGCACACATGGCGCATACAAAAGCGTGATTTCACTAGTGCTGCCTTCCCGAACCCGTCTCCAGGTACATTCATCGTTTCCAGGTAGCTGGACCTGACTTGGATGGAGACCGGCTGGGCACGGCGGTGGTGCGGCTTACCAGATGTCAGCTTTTGCCATGGCGGTTTGAGATCCTGAATCATTTACAGCTGAGGCCATCGAACATGCCAGGTTCTGGAACACCCAAAATCTAGACTCCTCTCTCCCTGCCCCACCGTTTGGCACTTGGTTAACTTTGGGTATAATGGACACTATGAAAACAAAGCATGAGGTAGACCAAAGGGTCATTCCATGCCAGTCTGGGCTGCGCTGTGAGCAGGAAAGACCGACCCAGCAAGCAACCGCCTCTCGACCCTTCGATGTCTAGCAACGTGGCACAAAAAACAGGGAGAGCATCTAGCTACATGGCCGCCTTTCCCAGGTCTCGGGACTGCTCGTTCCGACGCCTGCGCACCCCTCGTCGCTGTGATGCTTGGCAGAGTGGACTGGGGGTAATCACTGGCTCGGCAGATTCGACTCTCATCCACCCACCCTGGTGCCTTCCGTGGGGCTTCAAGTTACACAATCAAGCAAACGGAGCCCGTGTCAGAGACCGAGGGCAAGGGTTGATCCTTACCATTGGGATGGGATCTGCAAAGTGGCAGCCCCAACGCACTCCTTGTGCATTGATGGAAAAAAACACAAAGGGGAACTCGCACGAAGCGACCATGATGCAGGCCAACGGTGCGCCTTTCCCCCAGGCACTTGCAGCCCTCCAACCCGGCTTGGCATTCCTGCAGTGCAACACATGAATCAACCGTCGGGAAATGACGACATCACAAGAGTTCCGGTCTGGGAGAGAAAAAGGAGGGCGAGCTTCTCATCTTGTGACCCAGGACCGTTTTACTTCAATACCGAATACTTTATTTCTTCCAGTGCAAAGAATCGCACTGGGGATGAAGGAACAAGCTTCTTCAAGCCGCACGAGCCCTGGAGGAGGCCAGGGCAGTCACCGCGACTGGGTCATTTGTTTATAATCCCAGTCCATTCGCAAGATCGGGCGCTGCTAAAGCCTCGTATAAAGTGCAGCCGATCTCTTCCATCTCCTCTAAGGGCAGGTGGCCGAAAAGGTTTATCCTGCTGTCAAAAAAGCAAGGAAGGTCCCCCTTCGCCAGGTACTGGACCAGCTCTTCCAGCACTTGCTGGACCCGCTCGGACAGCGCAGCCTCGGACCAGTCCAGTTCAGTTTGGCTCAGGTGCAGCAAGGCGTGAGTCAAGGGCCTCCCAGCCAGCTTGCTCCAGAAGGGATGGCCTTCGAAGACAACCTTCAAGAGACCGAGACAACATCGCCGGGCTCCCGAATCTGCCGTATCCAGAGCTTTAAGCTTGGACATCTCTGCTGCATAGAAGCTTTGCTGCCAGAGGTTCTCCACGGGCTCTTCAGAAGAGGCCGCGAGTAGGATTTTGCCTCCTGCTTCTATCATGGGACGGAGGGTTATGTCCAGGTGGAGCCGCTCACACCTGACTTCCAGCTTGAGCTCCTTGGGAGCCATCACGGGCCGGATGGCGCATTCCAGCATGCTGCTGATGACGGGCCAGTTGATGGAGGCCACCAAGAATTTATGGAGGGTGTCACTGACGCGGTTGGAGGAGAGGTACCCGCCCACGAGGAACCTGTCCCAGGGGCTGCTTCCCCGTGGGAAGAACTCCACACCAGTCCGCTTGACCATCCCGAAGCAGGGATCGTTGATGATGGTGCGCTCTCCTGGGATCAGGTGCCAAAGATTGGGCTCCAGCACCAGGGGAAGCATGAAATCGACCTCGAGGCGCCCGCGGCTGGCAAGATCGTCACACAGGTACCCACAAAGGAGCATGGTCCCAAAGGGCAGCTCCGAAGACTTGTTTTTCAAGAAGTTCTGCAGCTCGGTGCAGATGTCCTTGGCTAACTGCTTCCCCAGAGCCTTGTCCTCCTCGGGGGCGGCAACGTGGTCCCTGTAGAAGGAGAGGAGCTTCTCCTGCAGCGTGGAGCAGAGCAGGGGCCTTGGCTCCCACAGGGGGGCCTTGGAGGACGGGGCGAGGCTCTCGGGTTCTGCACAGGAGAACAAAAGGGAGCTTCTCTCAGTTTGCGTAAGCAACGGAGGAGGAGCCGCCACCTGTGCGTGCTCCACCATGCCAAGGAATCCCATGATGCTGTGGGAGGAGGCCGAGCTGCTAATGCCACCTATTTTCTCTATTACTGATTGATTGAACTGATATCCTGCTTTTCCCCAACCGACTCAAAGCAGCTCACAGCATTCTCCGCCTGCTCGGTCTCGCCCCGCAACAACCCTGCATTGTTCCCAGCATCATACCACCTTTTTAATGCCGTTAGCAAAAAATACATACAATATATTATAAAAGTGGAAACGTGTGAAGACCCCTTGCGTTTATGGAAAGATGGAAGGTGAGGTTCGGTTTCCAGGGCTGAACATCTGGGGGTCTGAGAGCACCACGGTCAGCCACCTGTGGACCGGGTCTCGCCCAGACGCCACGTCCGTGACTGACGTACACACAACCACCCCTTGCACGGATTCCCGCCCTAAGCATTGGCCCAGCGTAGGGCCAGAAGGTGCAGAAGGCGCCCGCCATGTTGAAGCTAAGCAGGTTCGGGGCCGGCCTGAGCTTGGCGGGGAGACCACCTGGGCACCGCGTGGAGCCCCCTTGAGTCCCACAGTGGGAGAAAGGGGAATGTGAACATAATATTTGGCACCAGCACGGCCCAGAAAGCAGGAGCTTGTGCCACGCTTCCGATTAATCTCCCTGGGTGACTTCAGGGAAACTACGGCCTGGAAGAGGAGAGGAAAAAAGGACAAGATCTCTGCAGCTAAGCGAGGGACTGCAGAACATCAGCTCCATCGCGGTCTATCAGATGCAGCTTAACCGGAGCCAATTTAACGGCAGTTCCTTCCCCAAAGTCACCCCGAGAGGAGAGGAATGCTCCTCAGGGTTTCGGAAGAGGACATGAATTCGGCAGCCGGCGAGCCAGCATTCCCAGTGACCACGGGACATATTTAGCAGCCGGATCTTGGCACGGCAAGGAACCAGTGCCTGTGCTGACCTTGGGTGGCCACGGCCGTGACCGGGGAGATCAGCGGTTCTTCAAGGTCTTCCCGTCGGGTCTTGGGCACCGGCTTGATCAGGCTGAGCTCCTGCCAGCTCTCTTCCAGGGACTTCTGCTTGGCTTTTATCTCGTCGACATCGTCCGGCGGGCTGGTGGCTCGGTCTATAAGCTGTGGAAAGACGGCCGCCCCACAAGCTGGCATGAGTCTGCTGCCACGGGGCACACGCACCAAGCGGGAATCTGTGCCTACGCACAAGCCACAGCCTGAACCCCTCTCAGCTCCAGGGTTGAAATCTATTTTGGAAAAGATCGCAGGAGCTGCATTCCTGGGGTGGGTGGAGCTAAAATCAAAAGGGGAGGGGCCAAGTACCCACATATTCTTGTGACTGGCTAAGCCTTGGGCATTTTGAGTTTTCAGAATGCGGGAAGAATGTGCAGAAGCTGAGAGGCCATGAGGAGGGCAGGATCGAGACCCCAAACAGATGAGGGCTGGCCCACAGGCTGGAGTTTTAACACCCCTGATCTCGCACGATTAGCCAGGCGAGCACCTGGGGCTTTCTGTCACGTTATCTGCGGCAGCTCGCCGTTCCAGGCTGCCACCAGCCAAACTCGTCTCGGCTGCCTTGTTCAGGCAGCAAAGCATGGAAAATTATCGAGCCCCGGGCAGGCCGCCCCGGACAGCCGGTGGACTTGTGTTCGGGGCTTATTCTTGAGCTGCTGCAGGCCCTCGGAGCCTTTGCAATTCAAGGGCATCGTTGCATGAAAGGCAACTTGCAAAAAAGGCAATCTATATCCCTTTGGCACTGCAGATCCATCACCACACCGAAGCGCGTGTTTGCTACAGGCCGCATGGGGAGGAAAACCCAGCCAGGCTCACCTTCTTCACCGCCAGCGTTGCGATGGCTAAGACCGCGGCTCCGCTGACACCCAGGACCACCCTGGCGTTGGCCAGCAGGAAGTCCACCAAGCTGCCGAAGCCACTCTCGTCGTTCCTCTTCCCCCGCTTGTGGCTGAAGTCCGCCATCGTCCGCCTTCCAGAAATAAAAGCCAGTTGGGCCAATGGTAACTGGAAGTCTTTATGGGCTCAACTGGGAGGAGAGACCCAAAGGAGAGGGGTGACAACCCAGCGCATGATCGGTAGCAATCAAACCGAGAGCAAGCAGAGGATCACAGAGCCCAGGTTCTTATTTATAAATATTTATCTGTAAATAAATAGATAAAAGAGCCATACAAGCGGGAGAAGAGGGGAGCAAAGCCGCCTTCCCCAGCATTCCCGCACTCCGGCCATGTTGGTTGCGGTTGGCGGCAGCGGAAGTCCCAAATCTGGGACAGCGTTAGCTTGAGGAAGGATCATTTTAAAAATCTGGAAAGCCCAAACTTTTTTGGATTTGGGAGATGCAGGGTCAACACTAACCACTGTACCACCTGGCAAGTCCGATGTTTCTTACTCGCTGACCCCAGAAGAGTCAGAGCTAAATTCCGATTCCACATGCTGCTCTGCCAACGTTTCCGAGGCAACAAAACATGCCTGCAGCAACACCCCGTAAGCGTTCGGCTCCTCACCCACCACTGTGCAACCCACACATGAATCAGAAACGGGGGGGCACGGGGGTTGGCAGCAACAGCATCGCTATGGGAACGGCTGGCAAACAAGAACAGCCCTGAGGCCAGGACTCCAGTAGACTGGACCCCAGACGCGGTTTCCCACAAAACCAAGCCCGATGAACCTACAGGGTTGTGTTCGCCTTGTTTCCTGCGCACCTCAAAAGCAGGGAGGGGGGAACCGGCCCCAAAGCAGACCATCATGGTCCTTTGATAAGGCCAAGCCCCCAGGGGTGTTGGGGGCTTCCATGAAACCCGCAGCCTCAAATCTACCAGCTCTGGACCTCTCCCCCAAAGCCCCAAAGGGCACATCTGATGCTTGGGGACAATCCTATGCATGTTTAGGGGGGAAATGACCGAGTCTCTTCTAGTCTGGATCATTCCTTCAGCCTGAACGTGCTTTCAGATGGAACTGCAAATGCCTGGGGAAGGGCTGCCGTTTATACTGTCTCCCAAAATCTTGCAAGGAGGGAGAAACCGCAGTGGTTTGGGGAGATCAGGGCCAGGGAGTGAATTTAGCAAATAACGATTAATCTGACCTGAGGTTCTTTGGATGGCAAAATGATTAGCTGTCTCGTTTGCCTCCTGAGACATTTGAATAAACCCTGCCCGTGACGTGACGGGGCTATGAATAAGCACGTGTATATCTATGCAGATTCGTGTCCTCTGGACCTGGGTTCAGAACCCCTGCCAGGTGCACTCAGGAACAGCGCCGGCGACCCAACCATGATAAGCTCCGGGAATAATAGCCAGCTACAGGGCCGACCGGGTGCTATTTTGAGGCATGTAACAATATCCCCTCGCCAGCCTCTTGGCCCATGACGGAGCCTTCTATTCTGGGGCCCCGATCCCCGCAGGGGCTTCACGGGCCCGTCCATCGATTTGAGCAGCCCGGCATCTCAGGGAATTGAATCCCCCAGTCCTAACTCGACCCGTCTGCGGGAAGCGCTCCCTTTTCTCTGTCCGAAATCTCCAAGGGGCTTCGTGGGTCCCAGCCTGGGCAGAGAGACCCTCTACCCACCAGGCCTGTGGGCTGCAGCCGTGCTCACCAGGGCAGCCTTAGAGAATGCAGGGCCAAATACCAAAAGCGGGGGCGGGGGGGGCGTTTGCCCGGAGAGCCCCGTGGGCTCTTGCTGCATGATTATATTCGCAGTCTTTTCACCTTGAAGACAGCCCGTTGCTCGCCTGGTTAAATGCGTCCCCGGAAGCTGCTGGCTCTCAATCACGTCCCTTCTCCTTCTTAAGGTCACCCCAGGAGACCCTTAAACGGGGCAGCCATTCCTACATCCCGCCTTTTTGGAGGCAGGGGGAGCTCTCCTTAAAACGGGGCGGGGGGAGATTAAGCCTTAAAACCGTGCCCCGAGACGTTCCCCTTTGTGCGCGTGCGCTATTGAATTCGCACGGGGCATCTTTGCACCTGCCTGAGAAAATTAAATATGACGCCCCCCCCCATTATTCTTTCCTGGGGTGCCCCCGGGAATCGAGGCGGGCCCGACGCGGAAGCTGCCCGCTTCGCACTCACCTCGGCCAGGCCGCCGGCACAGCCGGGGAGAAGCTAGGGCGGCGGGGCGGCCCCCGGAGGCCCTCCCCTCTCCAGCGGAGGCTCGCCGGCAGCCGCTCCGGGACAGACCGTCGCCCGCCGCCGCGCGGCAATGGCAGCGGGCCGCCCGGGCCCAACGTTCCAAGCTGGAACGCCGCGTATCCTCCGCGCTTCCGGCCCGCTTTGATGCTGCGCAGGCCGCCTGGCCTTAAAGGGGCAGCCGCCCCTTTCTCCGCCCCTCCCCGGCTGGCGCTCGGGCGCGCAGGTCGGCGGATGAAGTACCCCCCCGGCCCCCTCCCGGAGAAATTCCGCCCCCCCGGCCAGCCGGCGCAGGGGCTTGCGATGCACGCCCTCTCCTCTCACTTCTCTGTCATCCCGTAGCCCAGGCTCTCTGGGCGGCTTCCACAAGGTACAAAGCAAAGCTATAACGTAACTATCATAAAAACAGCGGCATTAAAATGAAAGACGGGTTGCTTACTTGTAACTATCGCTTTCCAAGTGGTCACCTGTGCATTCACACATATGGGATCATATGTCATATTCTCAGAAGTCTCCCTGTGTGTGTGTATCATATATTCTCAGAAGTCTAACCTCGGCAGTCTTTTTGCGCGGCAACTGCGGGACAAGCGAGCAGATGTTGTTTGCGAAGCAAATATAGCGGTTTAAGCACCTTCAAAAAATATCGTTTTTGCTTCTCATGGTGTGTGTGTCTTCCACCTTTCTGTCGAAAAAAGGCCTTCCAGGCTGTTAACAATAACATCCGTATCAGAGGCGGAATCTTAATTAAACTATCTCATAAACGCAAAGAACACTTAAACCGATTCAAGAGTGGATACACCCAGGAGCATCCTTCCAAAATCAGGACCTAAAACTGCAGCCCAAGGCAGACATTCCCGCGCCCCTCTCCAGATCCTAACGCCCGGAGGCTGCAGGTGCGGGGGGGGACTCCGACAGATCAAAGGAAGGTCCCCCTCAGAGTCTAACCATGGCACTCCCGCGCACGGGATGCGGCGCGCGCCTCCGCTCCGGGCGGCGTCGCCCCGGAGGGAGGAACCCACGCTAGGTGCCGCCTTGGCCAGGCGGGGCGGCGGGCCTGCACGGCCCAGGGGCTGGGGCGCATGGGGGGAGGGCTCCGTCGCCCCCCTGCCCTGCTTCGGGGTGCTGTGCGCAGCGGGCTCCAGCCGCTGCGCTCCTCCAAGCGCCCACGGGCGCCCAAGAGTTAAAGGGGCGGGGCGAAGCACCCTGGCCCCGCCCCTCCGTCTCGCGTCAAGGGCGGGGCGGGGAGGAGGAGGAGGAGGAAGGAGAGTCGCCGCCGCCGCCCTCGCCAGTCCCGGCCAGGCTCTCCCTTCCCGCCGCCGCCGCCATGGCTGCCACCGGGGTGCTGCCGTTCATCCGCGGCGTCGACCTCAGCGGGAACGACTTCAAGGTGCGCGCGGGCCCGGCCGGGAGCGCTTGGGGCGCCGCCGCGAGGCCTCGGTCCGCGGCGGGGCGGCTTGGCTTGGCTTGGCTTGGCTTGGCTTGGCTTGGCTCGGCTCGGCTCGGCTCGGCTCGGCGGGCGGGCGGGAGGCGCCTCCGGACGCGGGTGTCGCGCGCGGGGCGTGTTGCGAGCGCCCCCTCGCCCCGCCGGGGAGCCCCGGCCTGCGCGGGGGGGGGGGAGGCCCGCGCGGCCCCCGGGCGCGCTGCGGTGGTCCGAATGCGCGGCGCGTAGTGCCCCGGCTTAGCCCGGCGTCGAGGACACGCATCGGGCGCCAGGGAGTTGCGGAAGGAACGGGTGAGGGCGGCGTCCTGAGCCGAAGAGCCGGTGTGGGCGCGACTTAGGGTAGATCCACTCCGATGAATGGGGCAAAACGCGGAGGAAAGGAAGCAGGGACGGGATGATGTCCTCGGAGGTGGCCCAGTGGTGGCCCTACTTAGAGTAGGCCATTCACGTGAAGGAGAGCACTAAGTCCCGACTTACTTAAGCCCCATTAATCTAGTTGGGGTGGATCGAAGAGTAACGCGGCTGCCGTGGGGGAGGCCGGAAAACCGCCCTGCCTTCTCTCGACTGGGGCATGCTGGGAGTTGTAGGACTTTTTTTCTGCCCCGCCACGCACCAGTTCGGCCTTCAGATCCTTCTAACTTCGGAAACTGGCTTTTGGCTGCGGCCTGCAATACTTTTTCCTGTGCTTTTCCTGTGCTTTGGATCATCGGGTGTGTTGCGTGTGTCTTTGTGACGTACGTTGCTCTGAAAGTGTTGGTGATAAGATCACACACACACACACACACACACACACACACATGGAATGCATCTTGGGGTTCTTTTCTTTTCTTTTTAAACCCTCCAACAGCCAAAGTTCTCTGGACAGAATACAATGCATTCAAAGCATATAGTGCAAACACTGGAAAAAACAAAAAAACAAAATTACTGAATTTGGAATACACCCCAGAATAAAACCAACTGCTTGTGTTTGCCTTCCAAACTTTCCCAGATCATCTTTTCTCGGAAGTGTCCTATTGCCATGAATGTATGTGGAATTTAAGATAAATTTTAATGTATGTCTTTTAAAAAATAAGAATTCTGAATCAGACCAATGGTCTGCATTAGCTCCATTCTGATAAACAGGGAGTATAAATGTAATCAGGAAAAAAAAAGCCTTCTGATTCCAGTAGTGTGCCTGAAAAACTGCGAATGTTACAGAGAGTGAACAGAGGTGCGTCTTTCCCCGCTTGGGAAAAACGAATGGTCTACCTCGCTGGGTTGTTGTGAATCCGCAAGATCAGCTATGTCGCCGTGTGCCCTTTTGGCTTCCCTGGCCTCCATCTTGTCATCCTCTATTTGTGACTTGCTCTGGCCTCTCGCGAAGCTGCTCGGCTCCATGGAGCCCTCATGCGCGTGACGTGTGGGTTATATTTAGCCCTGGGCTCCGCTCTGCATGTCGCTTCACTCTGGGACGTGACGGTGAGCCGCCGGCATTTCTGCAGTGACCCACAGCCCAGCTTATAAACCGTGATCTAAGCTCCGGATGCCCCAGGTATCCAGATCGGTTTTATGATCGAGCTTGGTGACCGAGTGGCCCTCCGAACCCTGTGATCTAGTCCCAGGCTTGCTGTCAGGGTGACCAACTTAACACACATGCCTTCTCCACTCCTCAGGCTGTATGCTGCAAGCGCCTCGGGGCGGAGATCTGTCTCTTTGCTTCGTCTCGCTCTGTTTTATGCACTGCTTAAAACTCTTGTGTGTTGAATCGCATTCGGCCCGAGGGTCAAATTCAGTTGCAAAAACTCTCTGGGGCAGTGCGCCTTGGGGCGCGGGCCACAGGCAGGAGAGATGGGCCTGCGATGCGTCACAGTGGAGGAGTCGTCCGAATGTTTGCACCAACAAGACAGTCCCACAACTCTGCGCTTTCTTTCAACCAGACGAGAAGGACCGGCTTTCTTGGGCCGGCCCTGGGTGGGCACCCCGTCCTCCTGCAGCCACGGGCTTCTGTGTCGCTCCGAAGTCTGTGCACCTGTTACTGCCAGGGAGCTGCAGTGGAAGAGACTCGGGGGGGGGGGGGGCGATCTTGGGCGCAGCGCTGCTCCGAGGAGTTGGCTCTGTCGTGGTTGTTCTCCAGGTTGCCGTTCCTGCTTTCCCAGATGTGCACCTTTCTCGTTGCCGCTGCTCGGGGCACCTCCGAGGAAAGCGATGAGTGCCATCGGCATCCGACCCCATGGGCCTTTGGGTCCTGCTGTTGGGGCTTGGGCGCGATCCCAGAATGCACATCCCAGTGAATCCCCCCCCACCCCCCCGCTGGTGAGCGATCCAGACTGCTCCCAGCACTCACGGCCGGATCGTCCTCTTTTGGTCTGCCCCCAGGGTGGGTATTTCCCGGAGCATATCAAGGCGATGACCAGCTTGCGATGGCTGAAGCTGAACCGGACTGGCCTCTGCTACCTGCCGGAGGAGCTTTCTGCCCTCCAGAAGCTGGTAAGGTCCCCTTTCCTGCTGCTTTGGGAGGGAAGCCTCCCCGGGGACGGGGGCAGTCAGGCCCGGGCAGCCGGGAGAGGAGGAAACCCCGTGGGAGCGGCCGGAGTGTGCCGGGAGGCAACCGCCGAGCAAGATGGGAATCGGGGCGGGGCGGGGAGGAATGGCCGGGGGGCTTCACCCTGGCAAGCCGGTGGCGGGAAGGGGGGGGCGAGAGCAGCAGGTGAGACGATGGTGGTGAGATGCCCAGTTCGCCGAGGGAGGGTGAGGCCCGCCCTGTGGAATTTGAGCTGGGGAAGTGCAGGTGAGAGGAAACGGGGAAGCTGCCACCGTTCGGCTCCTCGAGCGCAGGCTTTGCTTGGTGGGGCACGTTTCCCCACCGGGTTCTGGAGGGGCTTGCAAAGGCAGGCCTTGAGCTCAGGCTCCCGAAAGACACAGCACACGAGGGGCAAGGGCAGGGGAGGGAGGAGGAAGACGCCTTTCTTGCAGCAGCAGCTGCATCACGGCTGGCTGGATGGAAGCCAGGTGGGAGGGCTGTTGGCGGGCCCAGGGGAGGGCCACCTCTCCGCCGAGACAGTGCGGGAGTCGCTTCTGAACCGTCCGGCGTGAAGCAGGGTTGCGCAGAGCAGAGTTTGGCGGGATCCTGGGAAAAGTGGCTTTTTGGGAAGGAGAGGGAGGAAAGGAGAGAGAGGTACGAGCACGCCGGTGGTCTGGGGAGCAGTTCCCGGCATGGGGCAGCGGGAGAGCGGGCCGCGTCGTGTGAGGCAGGGCACGCTCCTGCCGGCCGGTTTCCCGTCGCCGTGGATGCCTGACCCTTCCCCGCTTCCACGCAGGAGCATCTCTCCGTGACGCACAACAGCCTGACAACCCTTCACGGCGAGCTCTCCGGCCTGCCCTGCCTGCGGGTAAGCGTTGGGCGCCTGAGCGAGCCAGCGGGGGCCGGGCGTTCTCGCGGGGGAGCCCCGACTATGGGCTGAACCGACGCCTCGCCTCTCTCTGTCTCCTCCGCCAGGCCATCGTGGCACGGGCAAACTGCCTGAAGAACTCGGGCGTCCCCGACGACCTCTTCCAGCTCGAGGACCTCTCGGTGCTGGTAGGTCTGGGGGCCGGGCAGCGGCTGGGGCTGCCGCCGGCCTTCCCCACCCCCGTTCCCAGCCCTGCCCTCCAGAGCAGCCAAGCGAGAGCTGTCCGTCCTCTGCGGGCACCCCGAAGGCCGCCCGCCCCTCTCCCCGTAGCCCGATCGGCTGCCGGCTTCCTTTTGGTGCTGTGCCAAAGGGGAGGCCGTGTTCTCCGAGCGGCTCCGTCGGAGGGGAGCAGGCGTCTTTGTTTCGCACACGGTGGCTTGGCCGTAGCTCGCGGGGGGCTGTTCTGGGCTCCAGGTGCTTGCATGTCTTCAGCTGCTGGGCTGTGATAACGGAGCGATGCGGCCGGTGGTTTTCGCTCTAGGACCTGAGCTACAACCAGCTGACGGAGGTTCCCCGGGAGCTGGAGAACGCCAAGAACATGCTGGTGCTCAGTCTCAAGCACAACAGGTGAGATGCCGCGCAGCCCGGAGCGAGGGAGTGAACGTTTCCGGCGTGCTCTGTGGGCCCGGCGTGTCGGCGAGGCCGCGAGCCACGAGTTCGAATCTCTTCTGCCAGTAATTCCTTGACTGGTGGCGGCGGCGGCCACTTAGAGGAGAAGCCCCACCGGACAGGCGAGGGCACAGGTGCCCCGTTCCAGCAGCCAGCTCCTCGTTGCGGCTCCCCAGCGCAAGCGAGCCGTGGGATCTCTGGGGGGCTGGAGGGGGGGAGTCCCTCGCCACGTAGCTTTGTGCCAGATGCCGAAACCTGCCTGAGCAGAGCGTTCAACCAGGCCTGTGTCTCTCCCGCCCTCCCCTCTCCTCCGGCAGCATCGACAGCATCCCCAACCAGCTTTTCATCAACCTGATGGACCTGCTCTACCTGGACTTGAGCGACAACAAGCTGGAGAGCCTCCCCCCGCAGATGAGGCGCCTCCTGCACCTGCAGACCCTGATCCTGAATAACAACCCACTCCTGCACGCCCAGCTCAGGTAAAGCGGGGAGCAGGTCCTGGCAGCCTCCCGCCAGGTGCCGTTGTGCAGATCTGGGCCACGGACACACCTTTCAGCTTTCTGAGATTGCCCGTGGCAGGGGTTCCTCTTCAAATTAAAGTTTCTAGTCCTTAGGGTTGCAAAGATGCTTGAAAGGCTGCAGGGTGGAGGACCACTCTCCGAGAGCAGCATTCCCACTCAGCGGTTTGTGCTGCGTGATTATTTTTGCTTTCCCCACAATAAGAAGCAAGGCAAAAAAAGCAAAGCAAAGCAAAGCAAAACAAAAACCCCAAAAAGCAAAGCTGTCCTCACAATAAAAAGCAAAGCACATATAAACCATGCCCATATGTGCCGAAACAGGTAAAGAAAGAAGCGATGTCTGGAATCCATCTGAGGGATGTACAGACCCCGCCTGACGTCAAAATGTTTGCGCATCCCTGCGATTCATCTTGGGGGCAAATCCTTTTTTCATTCCCTCTCACACCTGTACTCTTATCATTCATTTCACCTGCCAACAAAGGAAGGGAAAGCCGAAAAAGTCTTTGCTTCTACACACAAGTAAACCTGAATAATTGAACTCTTGACTTCATTTCGGGTTTGTTAGCCACGTCTCCTGATTCCAGACTGAAATGTTTCTACTGCAGCATCGTCTGCTTTGAAAGGAGCGTTCCAGAAGTAGAGAAATTCCAGCTTAACCCAAATGTGGCGACCCAGTTTGCATCCGGGGGCCTCACTGTCGCTCTTCAACCTGTTGCTGCTGTTGCTGTTGTTGTTGTTGTCCTTACATAAGCCTTTTTCTTCCCGCCTCTTTTCCATGGAAGGCAACTGCCCGCCATGACAGCCTTGCAGACGCTCCACCTCAGGAACACGCAGCGCACCCAAAGCAACATCCCCACCAGCCTGGAGGGCTTGGTGAATCTGACAGGTACGGCCCAGGTGGGGCTTGGGTGACGGGCTTTCCTGTAAGCGGTGGAACAAGGATGCCCCTGCCCACGCTCAGACCGTCCGCAAAGATGACACGTGTGAGGAGGAAGGATGGGGAGGGAAGAGGAAAGCAGTGGTCTTCCTGCACCGGCGGAGGAGCATCCCTGCTCGTCTCCCTCTGCGGCCCTTGCGTGCATGGCCAGTTTAAGGCGGCGGCCCTTCGTGCCCTTGCCTGGGAGGAAGTTGCCGGAGGTCAGTGCCATGGGCTGGGCCAGGGTGCCCCGCAGGTCCAGCCTCAGCCCCCCAGACGTGCCTGTCCAGGCCGGTTCGCCCAGAGCGCGGCTCTTCTCTCCCCCTCGCTGTGCCCAGACGTGGACCTCTCCTGCAACGACCTGACCCGCATCCCCGAGTGCCTCTACACCCTGTCCAGCCTGCGGCGCCTCAACCTGAGCAGCAACCAGATCTCGGAGCTCTCCCTCTGCATCGACCAGTGGACGCCGCTGGAGAGCCTCAACCTCTCCCGCAACCAGATCAGCTCCCTGCCGGTAGCGGCCCTCTCCTCCGCCCCGGGCGCCTCGGTGGGAGGGCCGCGAGCAGTTTCTCCAGAGCGGGGCGTGGGCCTTGGGGGCCGCAGGGGCCCCTCTGCGTAGAGGCAGATGTGGCGCTTACCTGGTCCGGCCGGGTCTGCAACTGCTTCCATTCTGGCCCGGTGCTGCCGCTCCTTTCGTGCGTCTTGGCAGCGCGTTCGCCCGTCACGTCGCCCTTTTCCCCCCCCAGTCGGCCATCTGCAAGATGACCAAGCTGAAGAAGCTGTACCTGAACTCCAACAAGCTGGACTTCGACGGCATCCCTTCGGGCATCGGGAAGCTGGCCAGCCTGGAGGAGTTCATGGCCGCCAACAACAACCTCGAGCTCATCCCAGAAAGCCTGTGCAGGTACAGCGAGCTCTGCTTCTCTCCAGTGCTGCTCCTCCGAGAAGCCAGCCGCTTGGTCGCCCTGCAGCCCCCGCAGCTCCCCACGCACGGCGCCCCAGCCCACCTGGCACCGCTCAAGGCTCCGTCAGCCCCAGCGGTCGGCTCTCCTGGGGAGGATTAGCAATAACCGCAAAGCTTCGCACAGTCTGATCCCCCCCCACATACACCCCCCCCACTTGGCAAATAGTAGCAGGTCAAAGGCAATAAGCAGAACTAGGGCTAAGAAAACGTTAGATGCTTTAAAGGGCTGAACCAGGTTAAAAGCCGGTGCCTGGCGCCAAGGGGAGCATTATGATGGTGGGGCCCTGCAGCCGGAAGGGCCCCACCCCAAATGTCCGCCTGCCTGATTGGCGGTGTCCTGGGGAGAGCCTCCGGGGGACCCCCGTGAGTGTCGGGCTGCTCCGGATGCCCTTTGCTCTTGGTCCCCTTCCCCAGGTGTGTGAAGCTCAGGAAGCTGGTTTTGAACAAGAACCGCCTGGTGACCTTGCCGGAGGCCGTGCACTTCCTGACAGACCTGGAGGTAAGCTTTGGAGCAGGGCTTCCTCGCTGCCTCCCCCTCAGGCCAGGTAGTCCCTGTCCAGAGCCACCCCGGTCGGTGGCTGGGGCTGCGTCCGGTGCAAGGGCGTGGCCTCGGTGAGCGATGGGCGGTGTGAAGACGTGTCCCTTGATCTGTCCCAAAGCCCTGCCCAGTCAGCTTCAGGGGGACGACCCCTTCCACCCGAGGATTCTGGGGGGGGAGAAAAATGCCCCCCGATCCACCTCCATGCTGCGTGTCTCTTCGGAGGTCTCTGTCGTGCCTCCCTCCACTCACCCCTTCTCCAAGCTCAGTGTCCCAAACGGTGTAAGATCCCCCCTAAGGGAGCTGCCTGAGGGTTCAAGTGAGCGCATGGCCTTGCCCGGACTTGGACCTCACTCCCAGTTTGTGCCCTGAGTGCTTTGATCCTCCTCTCCTGCTCTTCCTCCTGGCAGGTTCTGGACGTGCGTGAGAACCCCAACCTGGTGATGCCCCCCAAGCCCGTAGACAGGGCCTCCGAGTGGTACAACATCGACTTCTCCCTGCAGAACCAGCTGCGCCTGGCCGGGGCTTCTCCTGCAACGGTGGCAGCGGCCGCGGTGGCAGGTGAGCTTGCAAAGGACCGTTCGGCTCCCTGTGCGTGTGATTTAGTGTGACTTCCCCGCCCCTGCCCAGCCCTTCTAACCCACTCAGAGGCTCAGCCAGTTCCCGAAACCTGATTGCTGGGGGACACGTCTCCTTTTCTTCGAGAATTGCAGGTGTGCGTCACTCTTGAAAGAATTTGCTGTCTGGAGGCGCGTGCTTTAGCCCGTCCCTCCCACACGGGCAAAGTATAGCCAGTCTTGGTGTCCTGAAAGGAGGTTTTACAAAAGCCGGGGCACAAGCTGTCCTTCCTGCTCCCAGCATCTCTGGGGGCTCAAGGGTGGGCTCCTGCACAGGGGACTTGCACCTGCTGTTTCCTCCACACACGGCATACCTCCTGCTTGGAAAGAAAGAGGGCAAGCCGAGTGCAGCAGCTCTCACAATTATCTGGTTTGTCGTTAAGCCCAGAGAATCCAGGATCCGCAATCCGTCAGCAAATCATGGGCTCTTTGCCTCGGTGATTCGTGGTTAGCACCTCATAGTGAAACGACAGTGCAGGATTCACAAACCGTGGCAACCCACGATTCGATGCCAACCCAATTCTTGGGTGTCATTCCATGCGAACCAGGCCAGCGTGGAACAAGCTGCCTCTTTTGGGCCACGGGAAGCGGGAGGGTCAGCGGAAGGAAGCCGAGGCCACCTCTTCCTGAAGGGCTTTCTGGGTGCTGGCGGGCCGCCTTTGCTGGGGGAGGTAGCCTTGACCAGCGAGATTTCGTGCACTGCTGGTTCAGGCGTTCCCGTGGGCTCTTTTTGGCCGTTCTCTTCGATTCAGCTGCTTGGATGTGTTTGTAAAGTGGTGACCAACAAGGCGAGTCAGAAGTAAAAGACATTAAATTGATTCTTTCCCACCTTCTTTTTTTGTTCTCTCTTGGGTACAAGTGACCATTTCCTTGTCTTCCAGGGTATTTTTTTTAAAAGGGGATGTTTCTGCTTTAAACTTGTTCAAAACTGGGAAATTCTTGGGTATTTCCATTTTTGAGAGAGAAACAGATCTTGATGGTACTTCTGATCCATAAAGAATGCCGAGTTAACCAGAAAGTATGTATTTTGTTGTCCTGCAGTGTGTTTTTCTCCTCTGTAGTTTTTGGAGATCACGCACTCTGTAGTGCCAGAGTGTGTGTGGCTTGCACACTCCTACAACACATTACAGAGAGGGTCCTGGGGTATTAGCCGTAGCGCTGCAAAGGGATTCCCCACAGCCAGCCCTTTCCTCGTCCTCCAGGCGTGGCGACCTGCCACAGAGCAGTCCATCTAAGTTAAGTTTAGCGTACCTTAGTCAGTGATGGTGCCCATTGTTACTCTTCGTGTGGTGCTCTTAAAAGAAAGAAACAAACAAACAATATGCCTACATGATTTTTTATTTCTTAAAATATATTTTCATTAGCCTTCTTGGAGACCTTTAATTGGAAGGTGAGTTAGAACTATTTTAAAATTCAATATCTCGCCAGTACTTTCTTGCGTGCTTCAAAACGGTCTCCTGGCCCCTAAACCTGCCTCCCTTGCTGTTACCAGGGAGCAGTCCAAAAGACCCGATGGCACGAAAAATGCGCCTGCGGAGGCGGAAGGATTCTGCCCAGGACGACCAGGCCAAGCAAGTGCTGAAGGGCATGTCTGACGTGGCCCAGGAAAAGAACAAAACGATGGGGGTAGGACCACGTACAGGAAGTGTGGTTGTGCCGGGGGTGAGCCAGAGGGCTGTGCAAGTTTGTGGGGGCTGTGGCAACCTGCTGTGTGGTTTACAAACATGACCGGGATCCCTTAGTTCACTGCCGGGATCCCTTAGTTCACTGCCGGGATCCCTTAGTTCACTGCCGGCATCCCTTATTCTCCTTCCCGGCACCCTACTTCTTTCCCGACTAGGAGAATGGTGATCTAAAATACACAGACCTGAAGACCCGCCGCTGGGACCAGAGCCTGGAGAAGCCGCAGCTCAACTACTCGGAGTTCTTCACCGAGGATGTGGGGCAGCTCCCAGGTGTCACCGTCTGGCAGATTGAGAACTTCGTGCCAATTATAGTGGATGAGACCTTCCATGGGAAGTTTTACGAGGCCGATTGCTACATTGTGCTAAAGGTACGTGAACTCTTCTCTCCTCGATGAGCCCCGTCGTTTCAATGAAGGCTTCCCCCTTTTTGAAGATCTTCGTGGCAGCCCTGTGAAGTAGGCTCAGCAGGTAGGCTGGGGAAAGGTAGAGCTCCAGGTTTTTTGGACTTCGGCTCCCAGCATTCCTGAGCAGTGGCCATGCTGGCAGGGGCTTCTGGGAACCGAAGTCCAAAACCCCGACAACCCAGCTTCGGTCCACCTGAGGATCCTCTGTCCTGCGGCACTCCGCGGAGGCTGAGAAAGACAAGAGCTGGATTCGGCTCTCCCCTTGCTTCCTGTGTGTCAGCATCTCCCTGTGCAGGCCACTCACACACCTGCACTGGGATGGGCACACCTGTCCACCCTTGTCCGTTGCTCCTTCCCAGACCTTCCTAGATGACAGCAGCTCCTTGAACTGGGAGATCTACTACTGGATCGGCCAGGAGTCCTCCCTCGACAAGAAGGCCTGCGCAGCCATCCACGCCGTCAACCTGCGCAACTACCTGGGGGCCGAGTGCCGGACCATCCGGGAGGAAATGGGGGATGAAAGCGACGAGTTCAGCCAGGTACACAGCCTGGGCTCCCTCTGCAGCCAGGTGCCTTCAGGGAGGGGAACGCTTCCTGGAATCGCGGAGTCGGAAAGGGCCTTGTTTGGCTGCTTCCGGGGAAGGAGGAACTGCCAACTCCGAGGGCCACCTTTCCCAGCACCAAGCCACTCTTACCCTCTGCGTTTTTGGCCTGCGTTTGCTTCCCTGCCGCCTCCAGCTGATGCTTCTGGCCCTTCCCACTGGAGTAGCCAAGAAGTAGTCACTCCTCTTCTGCGTGACAGCCCGACATCCTTTCAAGACAGCTGCTCTGCCTTCCCCTTAATGATCTCTTTTCCGGGCTATTGATCTATTCTTAAAATATTTATCTATTTAAAATATTTATCTATTTAAAATATTTCTCAGTCACATCTGGGGCCAGAGGTCTGCCCAAGCTTGCATAAAACAGTAAAACACGTCAAGCAGGTGTGATTTTAAATGGGATAAAAGCACAATGCTTTGATCACAACAGGGATCAAGACAGTATTTTTGATAAACATGCAAACAGCTGAATGCAGTAAAAATCACAAGAAAAGCACTAATATGAACACTGATATCAGCTGCCTGTGAACCGAATACACAAGGTTGTTTTAATTGGCCGGGCATTTTTACGTGACGCACTTCACGGGGATAAGGGGTGACAACCTCCAACCAAAGGAGGTTACAGTCCAGGTTCAGGACTGAAACTGCATCTTCCGGCCTACAACTCCCATCAACCCTTCCAATGCAACCAATGGGCTCATGGGATTTGTAGGCTAAAACATCTGGAGGGTGACAAGAAGCTTGCCCTGGGTTACTGTGTAATGGAGACTAGCACCCACAACAGGAGATAGGCTGGCGTTACTTTGAGTCTGGATTAGGAAAAGCCTGGCTTTTTATACTGCGCAGATTCGTCATGCGTCTGGGTGCAGGTGTGGTTTTCTTCTTTATTGGGCTCAGAAATTGTGGGTGTTGCTTGCAGGTGTTTGATCACGAGATCGCCTACATCGAAGGGGGCACCAGCAGCGGCTTCTACACGGTGGAGGACACTCACTACGTCACCAGGTGAGGATGCTTTGGCCCCGCTGCCAAACACGCCTAGGTCCGGGATGCGGCACTGACGCCTCTCCTGGTGTCTCTGGAATCAGAGGTGAGGGTTTCAGCACGGCCAAAGGGGTGCGGGGACCGCGTCACCTGAGCAAAGGAACTGTCTTGTCCTGGGCCTGCGAGATGTGGGGCTGAGGGGTGGGGCCTTCAGGTGTGCTCGAAGGTGGCACATCGGCTGCCCGTGACTTTGCGGAACCCACTTCCTGGGGCGGCGCTCCCTGCAAACCTTCTGCGGCCGGCAATGCTCTCGGGCCGGGCCCCGAAGGCGAGCCATGCAGAAAGATCCCCGCCTCCTGGCATTTCCAAAGTCCAGTCCCGGGCATGGCCCTTTCCACCTCAAATTGGGGTTAGGAGAAACTCCAGGGTAGGGTTAGGGTTAGGCAAACGACGGTCCCCACGAACTTTCTGCGGGCGGGAACGTTCTCGGGCCGGGCCCAGAAGGCGAGCCATGCAGAAAGATCCCCGCCTCCTGGCATTTCCAAAGTCTGGTCCGAGGCATTGCCCTTTCCGCCTCAAATTAGGGTTAGGAGAAACTCCAGGGTAGGGTTAGGGTTAGGAAAACGATGGTCCCCACGGACTTTCTGCAGCCGGGAAAGTTCTCGGGCCGGGCCCAGAAGGCAAGAGGTGCAGAAAGATCCCCGCCTCCTGGCATTTCCCAAGTCCGGTCCCGGGCATGGCCCTTTCCGCCTCAAATTAGGGTTAGGAGAAAATCCAGGGTAGGGTTAGGGTTAGGCAAACGACGGTCCCCACGAACTTTCTGCGGCCGGGAACGTTCTTGGGCCGGGCCCAGAAGGCAAGAGGTGCAGAAAGATCCCCGCCTCCTGGCATTTCCCAGTCCGGTCCCGGGCATGGCCCTTTCCACCTCAAATTAGGGTTAGGAGACACTCCAGGGTAGGGTTAGGGTTAGGAAAACAACGGTCCCCACGGACTTTCTGCGGCCGGGACTGTTCTCAGGCCGGGCCCAGAAGGCGAGCCGTGCAGAAAGATCCCCGCCCTCTGGCATTTCCAAGTCCGGTCCCGGGCATGGCCCTTTCCACCTCAAATTAGGGTTAGGAGAAACTCCAGGGTAGGGTTAGGGTTAGGAAAACGACGGTCCCCATGGACTTTCTGCGGCCGGGAACGTTCTCGGGCCGGGCCCAGAAGGCGAGCCATGCAGAAAGATCCCCGCCTCCTGGCATTTCCCAAGTCCGGTCCCGGGCATGGCCCTTTCCACCTCAAATTAGGGTTAGGAGAAACTCCAGGGTAGGGTTAGGGTTAGGCAAACGACGGTCCCCACGAACTTTCTGCGGGCGGGAACGTTCTCGGGCCGGGCCCAGAAGGCGAGCCATGCAGAAAGATCCCCGCCTCCTGGCATTTCCAAAGTCCGGTCCCGGGCATGGCCCTTTCCGCCTCAAATTAGGGTTAGGAGAAACTCCAGGGTAGGGTTAGGGTTAGGAAAACGACGGTCCCCACGGACTTTCTGCAGCCGGCAACATTCTCAGGCCGGGCCCAGAAGGCAAGAGGTGCAGAAAGATCCCCGCCCTCTGGCATTTCCAAAGTCCAGTCCCGGGCATGGCCCTTTCCACCTCAAATTAGGGTTAGGAGAAAATCCAGGGTAGGGTTAGGGTTAGGAAAACGACCGTCCCCACGAAATTTCTGCGGCAGGGACTGTTCTCAGGCCGGGCCCAGAAGGCGAGCCGTGCAGAAAGATCCCTGCCCTCTGGCATTTCCAAGTCCGGTCCCGGGCATGGCCCTTTCCAGCTCAAATTAGGGTTAGGAGAAACTCCAGGGTAGGGTTAGGGTTAGGCAAACGACGGTCCCCACGAACTTTCTGCGGCCGGGAACGTTCTTGGGCCGGGCCCAGAAGGCAAGA